AGTTGACGAATAATTGATGATCAATACGTTAAATTAAAATTAAACTTTGAGAAATAAAGATCACTGAGCTGTCGAAGATCGATTTACTTTGATAAGTGAACCTTTATGCACGTTTTGCTTTTATTTACTTTCGTGTCCTACGTTTTCGCTTCTTTATGTCATTATCGCGAACCGATTCTATATAGCTGTAAGTGCAACTTGATATCGGGTGCTCGATAGGCGCGTTTACGATCTTCGTCCAGATAATCGAGGCGATCGCTCCCAGAGTCCGTGCCATATAAAGTATCATCTGATTAAATCTCATGTCTTCTAACCCATAATACTAGGTAGAGAAATCATCAATTAAGGCATTTCGAGGAGAAACGATCAAAACATATGTCTTACATCTTTTACCTTTTTTCTTAAAACGAGTCTATTATACTATAAATTCAAAATTTCTAAATAATCTTACTTTGTGTGTGTGCAAGTAAATGTTTATAAATAGTGTTAAAAATGTATAGGTAATTCAGATATGATATAACAAACAATTTATAAATGATATGAATTTGAAGTTATATTATTCTGAATTATATATAAATATGTACATGATAATACATAATTATATATAAATTAAATAAAATTCAATAGTAAATACAATAATAGCCAAACGAAAATGTGCAAGTCGAATGTTTCTGCACGCCAAAATTTATTTTCTATAAAAACATAGCGGTTCTACCTGAAAAATAACAGGAGCCAAGGCATTCTGTTCTGGATAAATGTCCTTCCTTTTCGGTCTTCTTGTTGCCATTCTTAATATCCGTGTAATATCTTCCGAGAGCTGTGAAGTTTTTAGCTTTATGGCTTGTATCTTCTATAAGAATCAATATTTTTTTCTCACTGTGCACGATTTTATTTTTATACCTTTAATTCCGAATTATTGGGCAAATGTTGCTTGGCGTAATGCAGGAGTGCGGTATATCGTGGATCGCAAAAATCGGCCTCCTTATGTCCTATCAATTTGTATCTGTTCAATAAATTTAGCACGCAGGTTTTTAAGGCATGTTCCGTCCACGTTCGGCCAAGAGTGTTTTTGATTTTTGTTTGTAATTCTTTCCACTGTACAATATACACACATATATATATAATAATATTTATAATATATTATTATAACAATAATTTATATAAAATATAAATATATATATTAAATATTAAATATATTACATATATATGTATGTAATTTTTTTCATAATCCAAAATAATACTGTTTTACCTCCAACATTGTTCCACTTTTAGGCTCTTCAATGTACGCTAAAACGATGCTCGCTAATACCTCATTTATATGGAGATCAGTTGAACCCAAAATTTGCGTAACGTGAGCAATCGGAGCTCCGCCATCATCGTCACTAGGGTTAAGATAGATATTCAGTTCTCTTGTATTTTTCCTTTTACACTTAATTCAATTGAAAGATATAATTTCATATAGTTATCACTACTATTTACACGAAATGAATTTTTATATTTTAATTATAATGATTTTGTATTATTTGGTTTATTAAATAATTATAACTTATGATACTTTTTATAATTATAGCTTCATTGTTTTTTAAACGTATATTTAACATTCGAATTTATTTTTAACAAAAATGAAAATTTTTATATTACAAGAGAATTGAAAAATTTACGCATTTAAAATGATGTATAATCTGAGAAAATCCGCAATCGATGATTTTCGGCTGTCTAAGCTCTCGTTCACGTTTTTCAAGCAATCTAACAAAAATTGCACCCAATCGCCATCACCGCTCACATTTGTCAACGTTTGGCCTTTGGCAATTAAACCGATTATTGCTGGTAAAGTCGCAAGAAATTCCATACAATCTTCGTAGATATACTTAAAATAAAAAGTAAATGTTATTTTTCGTTAACTAATGTATAATATCAATATATGGTTGATGAAAATTTTTTACAATAAAAATGCGTTTTTATATACAGAAAACTACATCATTCTTTCTCTGCTATAATTAGCTCAATTATACAAATTTATAAGTGAAATCATATACTTTACTTTTAGAAATAAAAGTTTGATATCTTGAATTAATATTTTTTGCTATTTATATGTATAATTTTATTCATATTTTTTAAATGAGACATAATTACGTTTTTATTTTTATGTTTCAATATTATGTGTTTTATTAGAAATAAAACATTTCGATTATTATCATTTGCAATATTAATTTTGTAAGTAATTCTTCGAAGGTTTTTATTTATTTAGTAAATTTTTATAATGTGTCACAATATATCTTCAATTACCTCCCAATAAGTGTAAGGCATGGCACCGAGCTTTTTAGCTTCTTTCGCCTGTTTGCTGATGTTGAAAATTGTGAGCGCGACCGACAATTTATGCAAGGGTGTAATTGTTTCGGGCATTGAACGTAGAACGGAAGCTATTGTTTCGCCGCATGGTCCCGACCACCATTCTGTACATTTTTTACGTCGTAACGTCCAGTCAGCGATCAATGAAGCAATTTGCTGCTGTGTAGGAACGTCACCAGTTAGGAGCAACCAAAACACAGCCTCTGCGCTTGGCAAGTTTCCTTCGCGAGGCAGTAGAGTGATCACTTCCGGTATAGTCAATCCACGGTATACGATCTAGAGAAGTTTTATTTTTAACGTTAAAGTCTCTCTCTCTCTCTCTCTCTCTCTCTCTCTCTCTCTCTCTTAAAAAAGAAAATTGTGTAGCCTATGAGTCGCAAACATTGCTTGAAATTTTTAACAATTTAATATCTGATACATTTTTACGAAATTTAAAATTTTATAAAAATGAAAAGTTTAACAAATAAGAAATAAGCTCTGATCGTGTAAATGTACAATACATATGATAGAGAGCGCCAAAGATCGGTCAAAGTTAGATGTTATGAATACAATATATATTCTTAATTTTTAAATTTAATTTTCTGAAATATGACTACGCGCTGAAACATTTGGACATTAACCACAATCGATGTGAGGCACTAATAATATAAGGAACTGAAACATTCGGACATTTTTATATATGAGAAATAATCTCCCCTAAATTATTTTGGTAAAGAACTTATTGCGAAAAATATTATCTGGCTGAGGTAATATTTTTCGCAATAAATTCTTTATCAAAATAATTTAGGGGAGATTATTTCTCATGTATAGGAATGTCCGAATTATTATTAGGTCTCACATCGATTGTGGTTAATGTCCGAATGTATCGGCGCACAGTCATATTTGAGATAATTAAATTTAAAAATTAAGAATATATATTGTATTCGTAAAATCTAATTTTGATCGAAAAGTTTAACAAATTTATAAAACTATATCATCTTTTACACACGCACACATTCGAAAGATAAAGTAAATATTATCTTTAATATATCTATATTTTTTAATATATCATCATTTATTTTATTAATGTATCTATATATATTGTAATTATTCCTTTAATAATTTAAAAATATCTTGTCTCTTAATGATTAAATATAGATAAAATATATTACATTGACATATTTTATCACATGATAAAAATATATCACATTTTATGATTATTACACCATGTTTAGGATCAAGTTCCGAGGTTTCCTTGACGATAATTTTTATATCGTTTAATCCCGTGTACAAGCTTTCAACCGTGATTTGACTGACGACACTTGGACCAAAGTGAAGTCGAAAGTTTCTCATAAGATCATGGTGCACGGGAATCTTCTCGCAGAGGGCTTCCTTTAGATTTGTGCTCGTACTGGGTTCTCCTCTCGTTTTGCTTACCTTTGGATGACAGATTCTATATTTATTATATTTTCGGAAGATTGTTTATATCTCAAGTAAATTAAGCGGCACCGCTTTGATAAGATTCGCGAATTTTGCGAATTAGTCATTCGCGCGATCTCGCGTACTTTGATAAATTAGTTCCAACCGTCAGTACGTGTCGTTCGCCCGTTCCAAAGTTGACCTTTCTGTCGCCGGGAAATTGCGTAGTGCAATTTCTCCTCCTGTCCCGCAGAGCGAATAGATAGGCTTTTTCACACCGAAGTCCTCTCGACAGACGTAACATCTTTCGTAATAATTTATTCAATCAAATCCAAATTAACGGTTAATACGCTACGTGGAAAGTATATAAGATGAGGTAATGATAAACTCTTTTGTAGTAACTTGAATTTATGTTTTATATCCAATTAAACGGAAAATTTTTCACATATATTAAATCATTTTAGAAACATTTTGACACATTCAGCCCAAAGAAAAATCGAAGCGAGACTTTGAATGCGTTTACTTCAAGCAATCTTCTTCTGTTTGAGAAGACTACTATGGGCATCATTGAAAAATAAAAATAAATAACCGATGTTAAAGTATATCGTAATTTATTAAAAAGTGACTTTTTGTAATTACTTTGGAATCTTTTTAATGTCATTCTAATGTCATGATGAGTTATGCTCTGCTCGAGAAAAGTCTAATCTAAGGAACACACAAAAATTGATAAAAAATCAAAATGACTTAATTTTAATTCTTAACGTCAATAAATAGTCGAACAAAAAAATCATTATTTCGACTTTCATGACGTCAAAATAAAGTCATTTTGACTTTCTCTTGACTTGATGTGTTCCTTGGAAATGGGCTTTCTGCAGTAATAAACAGTTAGTCAACAATAAGTCAGAATAACTGATCAAATTTCATTTTTTACAATTAAAAATTTTTTATTTAAAATTGACTAATCATACAATGCAGGTATCATTTTCCCCAAAAACTATCATTCTTCTGATTGGCTGACATATTATGACGTAATAGTCTAAAATGATTTATTCTGGATGCAAGTTCCCTAAGATTTATGACTTATAATTCTAACTTGTTACCAGTATAATATATAAGTAGTGATTAAACGGCTTACTGTAGAAAGCCCATAAAGTTTCCCCGAGTAGAACGTGCCAGCTTTCAACGAATTAAAAATTAAAATAAAGTACTTAGGCGTTTAGGCAACGTGTAGAAAAAAATGATATGCCACGTGCTACTGTCTCACTGGCGTTTTTATTGTGAACGTCGTGCATGTGCATACAAAATAAGGGATCACGTATCACTCTGCCGGTCGTTCCCATGCTGTCGTACTCGCGCCGGTTACAAAACGGTTACTTGCGTTTGTGCAAATTGAAATTGAGCGATCTTACGTATCTTTTATGCCCCTGTCGTATATATGTGATACTCTTTAACATGTGCATTCGAGCGTTCGAATGTAACAGATAATAATGTCGATGAGATGCTCTCTCTATTGCTGGTGTCACTGATGTGTGGCGCGTGACAGTATTAACGCGTCGCGATGAGTCACGGGGATGCGTCTTATCTCGAGAAGGACCTAATGTAGAAATTACGTGCACATAGCATCCTTCGTAGAGTACATACAAACGGTAACAACGCTAACACACGATATATGCCAGTATAATCTATGTATACAACATATCGATAATATATTAATAACGATTACACGATTTTCTCGCGATCGACTGACCGTTAGATTGATAACCAATTAACTCTCTTAACAGCATAGTAAAATATATGTATATGTATATGTACTATTGCTTCGTTCTCACCGAATACCTACCTACTGCGTGAATATAATTAGGCCGAACGCGGGAAAGGGTTGAGCTGAAAGGAGTTCCGCGCTGCATTTCGCTACCTTCTTGTCTCGTTTAATTATCGAAGTTTTTTTTTCTAATTTTTACGCTATTTAATAGTCTGAGCATTCTAACGCGTGTTAACTTCTATAGACGATCTCATTTCCGTCTAGAGATCTGCATAACTCATTGAAAATCGGTATACACATGTAAAAGTAATTTTACTGCGTAAAATTGATTTGGAAATTTCTAGGAAATTATAATTATCATCGTTATAATATTGTAATATTACTATATTAGTATCGTAATCGACGACCTCTACGCATAAAGGAAGATTGTTTAAATATGCAAATGCGATTAACATGAATACAAAATTTGAATACTGCAGGAAGAGACAGATTCTTTCCGTTGAATCGACGGGATTTTACCGAATGAGCCCCGCTAAATTTATGCGCGAAATCTCCGATATATATAATTCGGCGATTAAATCGCATGTCGCAGCGAATTCGCCATTGGCGTAAATCTCGATTATTATTGTCGCTTATTTCGAAACTTGTTATTTCACTCGTTCACTCGCTCGCGTGATTGTGCACGTTAGCACTCTTGTGCAGTCTTAGAAGAGTCACCCCCGATGTACGATGTATTCTACTACTCTTGGCTTTCGTGCCTCGAGTGACATGCTCTTCGAGTTGTCATTACTCTGGTTTCATTGCTCGCGGGCAAGTACGATACACGATATACGACGTTGCATTGTGTAATCGACTGCCTCGTAACAGGGAAGCGATTTGGTCTTAATGTCAGAGAAGAATGCACCTCTCGTTGGTATCGTGCTGATGGGATCGCATTGGTTGCGTGGCCGCGGGTGACGGCGAGTTCGGCCTACCTTCTATTGCCTGTATGCTCTTCATCAGTTCCCGAAATACCTGTCAATCAAAAGATATCGAAAAGTTGCTGTAGTCTTCCTAACTCACAATCTCTTTTAAGAGGCAATGCAAATAATTGTTCTACAATTGAAGTTATGCAGATTGATTGTGAATTTTGAAGAAATGGACAGAGTAAGGAAAAAGACCGGAAGTCTTTAAGGAAACATGCTTTTGAAATGCGATTTGTTGCAACAGTTCTTCGTGTACATGTTAACAGAAACCAAATCCAAATCCTAACTTTAACATCCTCTAGTTTTTTTTTAATTATAATAATATAATTATAATATAGTATATAAATTTTGAAGTCATTGAATTGATTAATTACTTGGGAAGATGATAGATTTCATTTATTGTCAATTTTTTAAAAAACTAAGTATCTGAAGTTAGGATTTGGAATTCGTACAAAGTATAAACACAAAAAGCTACCTTTTACAATAAACTGCGTTTCAAAAGCGCGTTTCTACTTCTGGGTCCTCCCCTTAAAATTTAAACAAATTCTAAAAATGTTAGAAAAAATTTTACGAAAATTCTAAAAAATGAGAAATCCCGAGTTTATTTTCAAGCTCTTCCCAATGAATTTTTCGACGTCAATATTTCCTCGGCGAGAATTTCAGTAATCTCGTTTCAATACTCGTAATTTTGGTATTAAATGTTAAATATGAACGGTAATTGAGATGCTCATTAAAATTTTAAAGGAGTTAAATTAATCTTAATACGAATGAGATGCAGATTGGCAGCGGGCAGATTGATAAATAATGTATATCGCGCACCTGCACTACGCGACAGTTAAATCTGGCACTGCACTCGACGTAACCACATCTCCAGTGTTTCCGGACGAGGTTCACGATGTCCCTGTACCTGGTCCCGGAAGCGACGGTCTGTGACAGTTCGTCCTGCTTGTTCCCGACCACCAGCAAGGGTACACCTCTCATGTCTCGCGCCTCATAGATTTGCTCGCGTAACGTTCTAATATACTGAACACAATTTCGGTCGGAAATTAAAGAAAAATATACCGGCGCTTTCACATTTAGCCTTTCACGCATTAGGCCACTTGTAGTAGCATATTAAAAAAATTTTATTTTTAGTAAATATTAAATCATTTAAGACACCGACACCGTAAAATCAGATATAAGACACATTTCGCAATAAATTATTGTTTAAACTTTAATAAAAAAAAAAAGTATTGTGATAAACTGATAGATACTATTATAAAATATAAAACAAATTAAAATTTTAAAGCTGAACTAAATCGATGGACGTGTGTATGCATAAAATGTGTATTGTCTAAAAATATAAATAAAAATGTGTTAGCTTGTATTGACATTTTTATTATATTCAAAAATATAAAAAATTATTTATAAAATAAAAAAATAATTAAAATTTAATATTATCTTGTGTCGGTTTGCATTGGACTTAAATTTTTATTAATTTTATAATTAAAGTAGCTTTTACAATTAAAGCTGTTTATTTTTAAAAAATTAGATATGAAAGGGTTAACTAAAAATTTCATAAATTATTTGAAATCATTCAATATTATACTTTATTATATTGAGAAGCTGTATGTATAAGGCTTAGTAATTTTAATGTTAGAAGTTAGAATACTTTTAAACAAAATAAATACGAAGAAAGATTCTTCTCTTGCAGTCGCTAATTACTTATTGTATCATTTCATTTCTTGTTTAATAATATTATCAACGTCACGGTTTTTCATTTATACTTTTTATTATCATTTATACTTTGACTTATTATTAACAAAATCGATTTAACGTCATTTAACTTGCGCTACGTTTTGTCCTCGAGAGACCATCTTTCGTCATCCAGACAAACATCCACATAATCAAACTTTTATGTCAGCAACTTTGATGCGACTTCAAGTCGAAAGTCGTGACGGCTTTCGCGAGAAGGGAAAAGGCTTGCAAGAAAAACTTAACAAAAAAGATATAAGCGCGAGCTACGTTTGCCGTGTTCCTGACGTTCTTTCTGAAGTTAAAGTTCTGTTCTGCAAGTGGCCTGCTCGCAATTTATCGCGATTTTAACATTAAATTTCAATTGTACGTACCTGAAACGTGTCCTGATTACTGAGATCAAATACAAGCACGTACGCTGTTGCACTCCGTAGTCCATAATAACGAAAGTCCGTCCATTCTAAGTGCGAACTGACCGGGAAGTACGGAATGGTGGGCAAATCGGTGATCTTCAATTCGTATAATCGATCGGCCAGCACCACGCTCGGATAAAATGTCTCCCGCCTCTCGGTCGGTCTGTACTCCTCGGAGAACTCGCTCCAGACGAATTGCTGGAAGCGTAAACAAATATCGCGTATTCGTAAAAATAATTATGGATTCAGAGTTCTACTCTCTAAATTCTTTGGAGTGAAATCTCATTCTATCATTCTAAAGAGTAAAAATTGAATCAGTCTTGAAAAAGAGTGGCTCAATTTTCAATCTTTAAAAGTAAAACTTTTCTTTTCAGAGAGAGATAGATATTATTATTACACGGAAAGAACGTTTTATTGAAGTATTTAAAATTTTACTGAAGTATTTAACTTTGCTGAAGTATTTAAAATTTTAGTTACTCTCTAAATCTTTTAAAGTGAAATCTCCAAAAGATTGAAAATTAAACAATCTTGAAAAAAGAGTGAAAATATTTTCACTCTTAAAAAAGAGCGGCAGATTTTCATTCTTTAGGAATGAGATTTCATTCTTTTGGAGCAAGATTTTATTTTTTTGGAATTAAAGTCATTCTAAACTAAGGAATGAAATATCTTTCCAAAAAAGGAATGAAATTTCATTTCTTTGAAGTGGATTTTATTCCAAAAGGGTGAAATCTTAAAAATCTGTCATTCTTGTTCAAGAATAAAAAAGTTTTCACTCTTTTTTCAAGACTGGCTCAATTTTTATTCCAAGAGATTTAGATAGTAAATATATAGATCTAAAAACAAAAAATTTTGTTGGGGATCATCAAAATAATAATAAGTACGTAGGATTTTCAAACATGACGTGCAATGTTGTAAAAAGTTTTGACATTCTAGCAACCAACTTGAACGTCCTACATAATTACTTTGATAACCCAGTAAAATTATTTTGTGTCTGTATTTAATTAATTTATCTAGTTAATAAATCTGTATCTAGATACTTTAGATACTTTAATTTTTAGCTATTTTAGTGAAACCTTTCGTTTCGTGTACGATCAATTCTCCCGCGCAAGCAGGTATTTGAACTTAAATTTCGTCTATTAAAAGAAATGTCAAAAGTGACTCGGCTTTCTTAGGATATTCGTTGTGCCTTTTAATTTCCTCGGAGAGCCGATAATCGTCGTCATCGATAAGCGGAAACTATTATCGGAAATGAACGGAGCGTCCGAGTGACTCGTTTCCACGATTTGTTTCTTTTCCTGCTTTAAAACAAAAATTCTGACAAAGATTCCCATCGATCGAACGTCGCACTTCGTACGAATCGCTTTTTCATATAAGATATTTGAAAATATCAAAGAGAGAGGTTCTTCGCTTTTTGTCGGATTAATAAAAATTACGTCATTTAAATATAAGACTGATGTAACATATTTATAATGTCCAAATTTTAAATTATGTTAATTAAAATGTCTCTATATTGAGGTAATTAAATCTCTAGAATTTCAAAGCTGCGCGTTTAATATTCAAAAGATTAATTGAGAGATTCGCAGGGCAAAGAGTAGTTCCACGTAAAGTACATAAAAGTAACATCTAATTGAGAGATGCAATCATGTCTGTTAACCTTTAAATGCCTCACTACAGGAACAACATATTGATATATATGACGTACCCAATTCAACTTAATTATTTATAATTTCCACAAAAATGAACAAATATAAGAAATTTTTTTTAATCGAAACGCCTGACATTATATAACATAACGGCATTAAACAAATATACATACTTTTATTAATAAAAAAATAATTACAGGCGGTGGAAAAATTTTTAAAAAGATAAGTCGGGTATACCGAAAAGGCGTAAGAGTTAAATCTTACTCGGATTATACTCGTCTTTCCTACGCCGGGTGCACCTAGGAAGATAACCTTAACACGATCTAATGTGTCCGCAGGGCTGTCTTCCTCTTTTGAGCTTCCTTCAGCGCCCTCGTAAGTTATTGTATTTCCGCCTCTTCTTTCTAAATAATCGAGGTCCAGTTCTGCGACAGAGACGACAAAATTATGCAACACGCAAATAACGTATAACTGTACGAGAACTTGTTGCTCATATACGAGGAGCAATTTTATTTCATAATTATACTCGGTTCCTGGAACTAGGAATGTTGCGATGAGAGTCTCGTTCCGAATACTCTCGTGATATATACGCTAAAGTTTTGCAAATTAGATACAATTTTGATGAAACATCGGAGGCATGCAATACCGTATGATTAACCAAAGTTATTCCAACTATTCAAAGTACAAGAACTATATTTTACACAAAGAGCTTCGTTATATTGAATACGGAAAAAAAGAATTTGCTAAAGTATTTAAAAATTTAACTAGATATAGATCTAAATAATTTGATTGGACCATCTAAATAATTACATAAGAAACTCAAATGTGATGAGTAAAAAGTTTTGACATTTTGTAATTAATTCGAGTGTTTTGCATAATTATCTTGATTGAATAATTCAAGAATTTTATTTCTAATTTTTAGAAGATTCAAGAATTTTATTTCTAATTATATTTTAGATATTTTAGCAAAACTGTTCTTTCTGTGAATCGTTTATCGGTATGGATTAAATCCAGAAGCTACAAAAAACTACATTTTAAATGCTAAACGAAACGAGTTATCGTTACTCGCGAAGAATTAGAGAAGGGAGAAAGACTACGCAATGAACATTTATAAATATTCCAGTCCAATTAATATTCACGAAAAATATCAGAAAATTATTATGTTTTCCGTTTTTTCGATGTAATTTTTAAATGTGACAATGTACACGAAGAGAAACGCCGCGAACCGATAGAATAAATGAATTAATTAATGATATTCAAATGTGGATCCGCTTCGGAACGAACTTTACGCGTTAGTCAAGTTGGAAGATCGCTTCGTGAAATGCGAAAGCTTATTCAAGTAAAGAAATTCGAGATATTCTTGACATTTGTTTCGCCGACTTTGCAGCAAGTTGCTCTAGTCTTCCATCGTGAAGATATATTATTCATGAAGCTTAGAAAATATTTTTAGGTGGCACCCATGCCATCCATAAGTCATAATACACCTTCCGCACGCGAATTTATTTGTCTTTGTAAATATTTTGAATCATAAATTTGCTTTATGATCACGTATGCAAGAACGGAACAACGTTTGCGGTACCCGCGGATTGAAAAAATTTAATTTAAACATATTTTAATTTAAAAAATAAGTGAAATGTTAATTGGCGAGGATGCATTACGCGCGAAAGTGCATGTACAGAGTGATCTCTGTGATTTATATGATGAAATTTCAAATAAAACATCTATATATGTGATTATATTTGTGTACAAATTGGTTGAAAGCTATACTCGCGATATTGCATATCGCATAACAAATCGACATGTAATTATGGATGCTTATATGAGATTTTGTCCCGCTCTCTTGAACACCGATGCGCCAATCCACACTGGCGTATAAATAAAAGCGTTGACGAATGCGCTTTCTAACGGAAATCAATTCCCAATTTATGATTAAATAATCGAATCAATTAAAACGATTAAACATCCTTATAATAAGACATGCATTACTGCAAAGTGCTTAATAAAAGATAATTATATTTAAAACGGGAGGAAAAAATATATTTTTATAAATAGAACAAGAAAATTGAGAAAATTTTTAAATAAAATGGATATCGAGCTTTGATAATGTTTTTTTTTAAATAAAAATAAAAATGTCTCACATGCATTCTGTACGATGAACTTTTATCAGAACACATCACGTGTATTGACAAGCGAATCTCGTTTACCCAAAAGCCGTTTATTCGCATGTAAGATCGAGCTTGATGGGAACTCATTGTCCTTCGCGCGTTCCATCAGATTTAATTGTAATTAGAACATTGCACTCGCGACGAACATTCGAAGTGCACTTATCACCGCGCTCCGACGACCTTCGTGGTCGAAGTTCGCCGATCGACTGACGCGAAACTCCGGAGTACTGTCTCTTCTAACCAGGGATCAACGACCATATAGATATATGTTTTGCACATACATACATATATATATATGTATGTGAAGAGAATTATAATCCCGATTTACCAAGATAGCATTTAAAACATATACGTTTCAAATTTTATATATATATATATATATATATATAGTTATGTAACTGGATAATAAAATATAAGTAAGTTACTTATAAGTTTCTACAGTTGCATAAATAACATATTCATAAGGTGATAAAATATAATCCGCAAACAATTACAGGGTTGCCACAGACCTGGAAAACCGGGAAAACCGGGAAAAGTCAGGGAAATTGAAATTGGTCATGGAAACCAAAAAGGGAAAAAATAAAAAAAGGGAAAATGTAAAAAAGTCTGGAATTTCAAAATTTGCTCACAAACAATTTCCTTAAACTGTTCCTATTCCAATTGTTATCATTTTTTAAATATTATATCTGACGTTTATAGTTCAAAACTTGTGCACTTTAAACGATTTTAATAAAATAATTCAAATTTATTTTATTCAATAGTTTTATTTGATCTCTCTTTTTTATTGTAACTGCATTCTTTTTTTCAAAACTAATTTTTTTTAGCTGGCTTGAATTTGCACCCAAAATTTTACTACATGCTAGTAAGCTTTTTTTGTGTTTTTAATAATATATTATAGTTTTCTTACAATCCTTGAGTCTAAATGTTAAAATTTATATATTTTATATTAGTCATGGAAAATTTTCCATTTTCATCTGGAAAATCTTGAAAAAGGGAATTTTAAAATTCATTTTCTGTGGCAAATCTTAATTAGAATGTACTATAATTTACAGTTAACTTTATTGATAAGTACACTTCAATTGTTTGCTTATTATATTTTATCATTTTATAAATATATTATTTATGCACTAATAACCGTGGAAATTCATATAGACAATTTACTTATATTTCATTTATTTTTGGAGTCACACAAAGTTATTTTTATTTTAATTAATTAATAGATTTTATATATATATATATATATAAAATATTTTAATTATAAATTATAATTAAATTTGGTCTGGACGGAATATATCTCATATCTCTATATATAATTTAATATAATCACGATATTATAAGATCGTTTTGAAATCTCTTACCGATTTTATTAATTACAAATTTTTGAGATGTTTTTCTTTTAAGTTTCTTTTTATGAAATAATATAAATTACATTTTTTAATTTTCTTAATCAACGTGCTAAGCTATAAGACTGAAAGAGGGAATTACGTTGTATTAATCGGATTAAGAGTATACAAATTATCACATTATAGTTTGAAAAGTGTTTGGTTATGGTTAGCTCACCATAATATTATATCGTAGAAACTTTAATTATGCGTGGATATGGGCCTTTGTCGAAGTTTTTAATTAATTTCAACTCATAATACATGTATAGTTAATACGTGTATGTAGGTAATCGATGCTTTTGTTTATGGGAGTGCGTGGATATTAAATTTTTTTAAAACTATATTATATAACTAATTTGATTTTGTTCACGTGATATTTATTATTTAAAAATTATAAACGTAATTTATTGATAAATGAAAATAATATAAAAGACAGAAATAATAAAAAAATATATTCAATACATCTTTTATTTCAAAATACAAGAAAATTTTTGAGATTATTATATAAAATTATTACAATTATGTATTAATTATATTTTATATAAAATATAAAATATGATTAATATATAATTGTAATAATATAAAATATAAAACATAATTAATTAATTGTATAAAATAAGATATATATAAATCATACTATAGAAAAAATAAATAAATATAAAATATAATATACAAATAAATTGACAGACAAAACATTTTGCAAGACTTATAATACTTACGATAATGCTTGTGCGGCGGGAGGCTTCGCCTCCTCCAGCCGCTCGCAGTTTTTGTACCTATGGTTATCGGTGATTCGCAAAAAATTCCTCACAACTTGCACCGTGCCAGTCCTCGTTAACTCCGATACGATTTCATTGTTTGAGCCTTTTAATAACTAAGATGAATCCAATTCTGTCAATTATAATCCACGTGCGCACATGCGATTATACTTTGATTTCTCTCTCTTTTTTCCCTTTACTTTATTTGCTTTAGTACACGTCGGGTGTATCATTAAATGGCAATGGATTATTCCCTTTGATAAAAATTATCTCGCTTTATTTTAGCTTTTACAATCTAACAACCAGTGTTGTTCAGTCTCGTTGACTAGACTATAGACTAGACTAAAAGAGCTGAGATTCATTGTCTATCGGGGGTGTTTCTTCGCTTCACTAATCAAACAGTAATTTCAGATTTGATTTCATCTCCTTCATGTCCTCTCTGGGGACATCTACTGTAGCCTATTACTTTACAGATAGGCGTATTACGTAACTCACGTACATATGTCCCTTAATATCAAATGTCCGATCATTCTGATCGATACGCGCTATTCTTCAAGTATCGTAAAGTTGAGGGATTGTAATTGGCGTAATCTCGATGAGTATTCCTGATGTATCATGATGAGAAAAACTCCATTACTAATGTAATTTTAATTGCGGATAAATATAAGTGATATCATTTTGACGTATCAATAAGATAGAGATCTAAAACTCGTCTCGAGATTACGCGTTGATTTTGATTGTTAGCAATTATTCTAGATTGTACTTCGTTGATTGACAACCGATTTGCTTCGTGATTGATTGATCATCGACCCTCAGGATTTCTTCGGATTGCGCACGCCTAGTTCAGCTGGATCCGATCCACCTGCACTCGGATTCGGCGAACGCCGCATACATCTTAAATAACATTGTTGTAGAACATCGTCGTATTATTATCATTTTTCTTTGATATTTACAATCGTCGATATAAGGAGACGGTAGGGCAAAGTGAAGATGAGCGTAGCTTGTCAGACGCGATCCATGCGCCAGTATTGCTTTACGTGTATTGCTTCCCGAGGAGAAACAATTTTGCAGTGCAGAAGGATGATCGTTACCGAGATTCGTCAATGAAATTTCGCAGACTCGATCTTAGAACCGTCCGAGTTAGCCGTTGACAGAGCCAACGGCTGATTTCGTCTCGACCACGGTCGGCACATCCTCTCCGGTGACGATGCGCGATCACAGAATCCTCTTCGGACTGTGAGGATCCCTCTCCCGGTCGCCGAGGGCTGACACTCGATTAACGATTACGCAATCGCGACCGACCGGCACCACACGCTCCGCAGGCGTGTCACTGTCATGAAACGACGGCGGCGCGAAAGTTCTCGTTTCAGACAGCATCGCACAGGAGCAACGCACGAGGTTGAGGCGTCTCGGGCGGCAGCACGGCATAGTTCATCCCTCGGACGATCGAAACTACCCCTAGAAGCGCACGGAGATGCTCGCGTTTTGCGCCTGCGTGCGAACCGCGTCGCGGCAATTTCTCACTCGGCTTGTTAAACGATTATTTTTACAAGCTCTTAATAGACATTGCTTTATCTTAATCTAGATGTACAGAGTGTTTCCAGATAGTAATAGATAGGATCATAGCTTTGCAATATTTGTCTGCAATATTTGCTAAGGTGAATAAAAAGTATTTACAATTAGTCAAAAATAGATCCGCAAACTTGTTCTTTTAGAATAAATAGCTATTTTTTGCTGTGACAATTATTCATCTATATTTTTATGTTTGTGTGTGTGTGTGTGTGCGCGGTATATAAATAATAATAATGAAGATTATTTAATAACATATTTGTTGTAATATATTGTAAAGTTCACTATAACGATTTTTCATTTGCGTCAGATCTTAATTTTATATTGCCATGTATATTTTATTTTATTATCTTTTTTTTTACAAACATTTTACATGCGACATAAAATCATATGTAAAAGTCTATTCTAAATTCTGGGAGGACATGAATTATAAATTATTTAAAATGATTTTGATACTTTAACATGTAAATATTATTGTATAAATATTAATACATAAATATTGCTTGTTGAGAGACTATCAACTATCAACTCGTTCGAAATATACGTTATAAATTTTTAAACAAGTTCGAAATTTGATGATACAAGAATAATAGATCATAAATATATATTGAAATGAAAGATACATAATGCGTTTCTTTTAAAACTTACTTTAAATAATTTTCATTTTATGTTATATTTCAGGATAGAATATTTTATTTAGAATTTTATATTTATTTCCTTTTTTCCTGATTCTTTAAATGTTTCTATTACATACATAGCATATAAAATTTTAAATTGAATTCTATTTTAGATTGCGACACAATTTATATATAAATCTAAAGTTGAACTTAAGATATTAAAATAATGAAATAATTCTGTGCATTTGCAATCAAAAACTTCTTGCTTTTATAAACAATAAACACCGAATTAAAATATTAAAATAATAAAATAATTCCAATTATAAAAATTATAATTTCAATTATAAAAAATATTTTATTTCTACAAACGATAAACAACGAATAATCAATTTGTAATAGCGGAACAGAATGCTCGTTCTTTAAGCGGATTTATTTACGTATTTATTTCGATTAAACGCTTTTTATTCGGTTCAATAAATACTACAAGCTTGCAAAATTTTGAAACGCCCTGTGTATGTATACATCTCCACGCTTTACGTCAATATTTTATTATTAACGCTGGAAAACACGGGGACAAATGCGCAGTCGCGCGCATCTCGATTTATTTTATATACCAGAGATATTTATCTTGATATTTATACTAAACTTTTACTGATAGTAAAGAAAGAGAATATGATGAAGAATGCAGTGCGAAAAGAAAGTTTGTTCTTTTTCTCGGATTTTCAAAGTATTTCCACAGATAAAGTGGGAGTGGCAAAACATAATCCTTCTTTATCTCTACAATCCTACTCACGTTAACCTGCATACTTGTACGCATTACTTGTACAATTCACTCGTAAATCACATCAAAAAAAAAAAAGTTACTTTCTACATGTTGAAAGAATCGTGTTCTCCAAAAGCAGCGATCGAATCGAATAAGAGAAACTCATGCGGTTTGTATTAATTTAGATTTCGTGAGACAAGACAATTTTTATTAGCAGTTACTAACGTAAGTGTATTTCATGTGGGTTATTTGTAACTTTTATTTTTTTACGGTGCTGTCTTGTAATACACTCGCATAGTGAATATCTATTGTAGTTCTAACACGAAGCGGTTTAATAAAATCTTGTCGCAAAAATGCTATACAGTTGGAAAATCTGTATTAAATTTTTAAGCAAATACTTCATAATTAAAATTAATATTTATAATATATAAAATTAACACATTTTAATTACTTATCTTAGAACGTATGTTTTTAAAAAAAACATTATTTTTATATACGTTATGTGTCTACTTATTCATAAATTGTGTAATTTTAATAATAAGAAATGTCGAATATCAATTTAACTCAAAATATTTTAAAAAAACAATCACATTATGTTAAATTAACTCTTGAATATGTTAAAAATTTAACACAAAAATTTAACAAGGAATTAAGAAATTAACACAAATACAAAATATTCCTTTCTGTGTAGTTGTCTAAATCTTTTGAGGGCAATGAGAAAATTCGGATTTTCCTCTGACACGTTGGAATTTATATGAACGTTTATATCAATATTTTATTAAATAAATATAGTACAGCTTTACATAGAGAAAAACTATTTGATAATACTGTGATCTCATCGATTAATACTTGATCATAGTAATATACACATACGTTAATTATACATTAATGTCAAAAGTAAATCGAGCTCGGATATCGCCAGATACTCGTATTAAACGTTTGTTATGACATTTTACATTCTTCTTTTGACGAAATACTTTTTTCATACTTCTTTCCGACGAAAGAATTGAAAATATCTCACGTCGCCTAAAACGATATCCGCGTCGATGAAAGATACATATTTATATTATAACGGTCAGAATGAGCAGCCATGCATGGTGCAAATATTTCTTCTTATACATCTTTTTAAGTGATGAAATATTGTCTTACTAAAAATATCGAGAGATATTACGAGAAATATAAAAAACGAGGTATACATTAGATATACGTTCACGCGTTCACGTGGTTACGTATAATGAAAATATATATATGGTGTATATATATATATATATATCTTACTTTTTAAATTTATTAGAGCCAAGTACTTTGGTAATCATATTATATAGTAATTGACGTACTACATCAATTGTATCGCCGCTTCTCTCATCAAGAGGCAAGACGCTGACACTTTCCGTTCCTAACGCGAAATTTTTTATGTATTTCGCAATCGCGCATTCATAGCTATTCCATTAATCGCTATTCGTTATCTAACAAATTTTATTCTTAATTCTCTCCTTCCGAATGCGCGATAAAAAGCAAAGATTGTTTGTCTCTACTGCAAAATTAAGTGACAACAAATAGGGAGGTTAAATCGTATTTGTGTCAAAACGCATTTTCTACATTGAAAGCCGTAAAACCACAAATTTTATCAATAATAGTGAAGAGAAAGAGAGAGAAAAAGAGGGAGAGAGAGAGAAAGAGAGAGAGAGAGGGAGAATAAAAAGAAGAAAATTTAGTTAAAGATCCATGAGATGAAATTAAAATGAAATCTAAATGACAAGATTTACAATTTAATTCTTAACAAAACGCAAAAATCGTAATAAAAAATTGGCGTGCATTAGTGATAAATATTTTGTAAATTGTTACTTATTTGCGTACAACGACAAAGAGTGCCACTATCAAAATTTAATATTACGTAATATTATACTATTCCATTAAAAAATGTAATCACTTCATACGATTACATCTTATATTTACACATTATTCGGACACATCGCCAATGTACACATTGCCATTTAATCCCTCCACCGTGTTTTTTTTTTAATATAGGCTGTTTGAAAATATAACAACGTAATTGCTGGACGACTTTTAATAATAGACTCTAAATAAAGATAATAAACTTTCCTGCGTCCATTCATTAATGTTCCATTATCGATTGTAGGACAATTAGTACAAGTTGCAGCAGTATACCTCAAATGACATAGCGTATATCTTCCCCGTTAAGCATTATGACTTATAATTAATGTTTATGAAAATGAATCGCGACGAGTGCTTACATTGTCGTTGTTCTTTGTTGTTGCTATATGCATAATAAAGGTGGAGAGAAAAATTATACAGAGCTAAAATTTACATTTTAACGAAGAAAAATGTATAGGATATATGTGCTCGTTTCTTTCACCGCTCGTTAATCTAAGTAATAATAAAAAAGAAAGATTTTTATTTAAGCCTTACTTCTTAAGTAACAGTACAAATAATTTCTATCATTTTTGTATTGCTTAAACTCAATTCTGACATGTACTAGCTTCTTATGACTTTTCAATCCATGATTCTTTGTATTTTGTTATGCGCCTGTAAAGACGCAGAATTCTCTTCGTGAAAATCTTCATGACACGAATGCTCCATTTTGTCCCTTGTAAATACGTTAAAAAATATAATCTTGCACAATCGTGTGCAACGCGAGAGATTGCATTCGTATCTGGAATATACAAAACCAAATGTTCATTTTAGTTGCACCAACACCATGAAGTAGGTCACCACGGCTCCCAGTACCTGAAATTTTTAGAAAATTGTTTATTACGTTACTCTATCATAATTTTATCTCATTCTATCATAATAGATCGTGAATGGAATCTTCTTAATTTCGTTATATAAGAATTGAATGAAAAGAAAAAACACAAAAATATATTGAGATAAAATATCTAGTTTTACCGAAGCGAAGAGATCCAAAGACACCGTGAAGAACTTGGCCCCTGATATTGACATAGCTTTCTGACACTGCTGACATACGATTTGCACGAATGTCTTAGCTTCCTCCGATCCATCATACCAATGACAAGAATAAGCCGCCTCCATCACTGAAGTGCTCTAAAAAAGAATGAATTTTTTTATTACAATTTGTTGTATAAAATTGCATAAAAAAATTAGTTTTTGCTTTTTAAATTTTTATTACATTTATCTTTATTTTTTTAGAGCCATTTTAAATTACACAGTGAAATATTTTGTACTTGTGTTAAAATCGCCTCTGTTAAAATTTTTATGTTGAATTTTTAACATATTCGAGTATTAACTTAGCATAATGTGATTATTTAAATATTTTGGGTCAAATTACATTTAATTTTTTAATATTTTTAACATTAAAATAATATTGCTAAACTTTTCATTTTTTAGTGTTAATACATGATTTATAAATGAAAGAGTAACATAAAAATAATAAGTTCTGAAAAAATGTAAATTCTAAGATAAATGAATAAAAGATAAATGTATTAAGTTAATACATCATAAATGTTAATTTTTTCAAGAAATATGTTTACACAATTTGTATTCAAAATGTTACATTTTTGTGTTAACTTTTCCATAATGTTTCTGTTACATTCTAACGTATCATTCATTTTGTTAATTAACACTTAAAATTTTGATGGATCGTTTGGATCACATAAATTAAACATGTTAAATTTAACATAAATTTTCAATTGTATAAAATTTCAGAAATTTATTAAGTCGTTTATAAATTTCCATATACGCACCTCTTCAATCAAACGATTTCCAAATATGCAGAATAAAAAGACTTGGCCAAATGTATAGAGCACGTAGCCAATCGTGGAGGCCGCATATACATTTATACCGCTCACCTGTAGCATTTAAAACTCGTATAGTATGAATATTTCTTGATATATTCGAGTTCAGATTAATCCATCGACTTTGCATTATTTATTTAACTAATTTATACGATCAATAAATCATTTATTCGAGACCTTGAAAAGGAACCTGACTGACAACTCACCTTCGTCGCTTGATAAGCGAGCAACGTTAAAGTGATGGTCGTCGTCAACATGTGAAGCAGAAGCGCAAAACCGTACGCATCTCCGACCGCGGTGACCAATCTACGTTGGAATAACAGTTATTATTATTACATTATTTCGCCAATTAAAATTCAGGACAACCTGAATTATCTACGGAAGACTTATGCCGCACTTTAAAAGTACCGTTGACAAGCGACTTATGAAAGATATATTCGCGATTCCCATGCTTTCATACATAGATACTGATTTTTATACTAAAGTGATTAAAACTAAGTTGAACAACGACGAACAAATATTCGCTTCCATTTCACCACGTATATCCTATTTCGTCGACCGTTCGTCGAGTTAACACTATTTCCAGTAAGTGAATGATCGATACGTCGAAACGCCTTGAAGAAAACGCGGTAGTATAGCGTTACACTTGGTTGTCACTATCGCGAAAAGTCGGATCTGTAAAATATACGCTGAAATGTAATTTCGAAGCGAGACTGCGTAGATTTCAAAATTTTGAAACTCAGATCGAATATCCAACGCGATATATAGACCGCTATGTGGAAACGTTTCTTCCCCTTAGACTACTTACTCGTAGGACATGACCTCGGTTGCGGTCAATATCTTTTCCAATATTGCGTAGATGATAATATGAATCTCTATCATTTGAATAATATAATTTGACTATCATAATAATTTTTTCAATCAATTTGCCGATCTCTTAAATCCCTAAGATCACCGACAATAAAAGGATTTGAAATGAAAAATAAACGAAAAGTTTCCAAAAGAAAAATTTTATAAATTTTTAGATAAATATAACGTAAAATTCGATGTAGTATCGAAATCGCGTCGATCAAGATTGCATATTTTAATTTTCAATAAAAAAAAATGTGTGTTAAAGAAAATGCGAAACAGTAATAAACGGGATCCTTCTATCGATAAAATCACACTGAAAAAAGAAGTGTTTAATTTTAAGATATTAAAATGTTTTATTCTTATCTCCATTTTTTAAACACTTAAAGATGTTTTAGCTTTAAACTTTCTCAATCCTATACAAAACACTACATGTTTGGATTTAAAACGCATAGTGTTTTCAATCCAAACATGTAATGGTTTGTCTATTGAAAAAGTTTGAAGTGTTTAAAAAATGGAGACAAGAATAAAACATTTTTTTTTTACAGTGCTGGTGCTATTGTTCCTTTGAACGATTTGTGCAATACTAGATGAGTGTGACAACGCGTGTCCATAGGTTGCGTGGGCGAAAATCTGTCATCACTCGTGCGTTGGCGTTAGGTGAACCACGTGTGCGCACGTTACGTGCACGTGAACCGTCATGTCGAATACCATCCCCCATGAATTGCTCAGTCCGTACAATACACGACCCCCGTTGCGGTCAATATCGCGCTTTCTTAGAATAAATACTTCACCACCGTGGGAATACGCGCATCCCGTGCTAGTCGACGAGTGGCTTCGGCACCCCCGCGAACCTACAGGAACACGGCATCCGTTCGCATCGTTATTGCGAAAAAAAAATTTTCCCGAGGAGCAATCGATCTTGTCGCCGCCGATCGTATTCCGCATACTCTGACTTTCACGAAGAACGATGGTTATCACAATTCGAAAAGAATACGCTTTTAAAATAAAATTATTCATTATCGAATAGTTATGAAACTGTAGTGAAATGTTGGAAATAGAATTGTTCTATTTATCTATTATTTAGTTTTGAAGGACTGTACCATAGATTTTTTAAAATAACAATCAATTACATCGAAAATAATATCAATTGTTGAGAAGATTATTTGACTAGATTTCAAACTTTCCTCCCAGTAATTATAATTATAGCTGCAATGTGTTGTCACGTACAAATTTCAATTAGCTTTGCCAAAGCTTAACAAAACTTTATATATTCGTTATTACATACGAATGAAGCTTTTCAAAAATATATTTATTATCTTATTTATGATTGTCTTTCTATTGATTTCTAATGATTTTTGAAATTTTTTGAATATTTTACATACAAATATGCGACCGAATATTATTGCAATAGCAGTCTGATAACTCTCACATTGAATAACGTTCAACGTATTAATAAATAGTACGAAAATTATTGATAAAATATTAGGAATTTAAACCGCGATATAGATTGTGAATAATTACTTTGCTTTATATGCTAAAAATGTAATGTCTAAATATTTGCAAATAATGAGTTTTATTAATTTTCCCTTCATTTTTTTCTTTATCTATAATTAAAATCGCAAGACTATTATTTCATCCGTAGTATCAGATAAATGTTAAAATACAAATATAATATGTAATTGTATAAAATAATATATATGTATATTATATATATTATATTATATAAAAGGAGATAAAATTATTTTTCTCCAGTTTACGTTACGTATTAAATAATTAATATCAAGTATTTATATGTGTGCCTCGAAGGAATAGTATTTGAAATGTGTTTATGCATATTTTAAAATTTTATAATCGCGATGTTTGGCTCCGTACGCAACACACACACATAACTTTGTCATGCTCACTTTTTAATAATTGAGAGAATAGTTAGCGTGTCTCTCTATGGGGTCAATATAATGCCGACTATATACTAAATACTTTACACACCTTCAGGCGTGTTGTACAAGATTATTCTGGGTCACTAGTCCGCACAAGATGCAGATGACTTTCAAAGAAATGGTCCGTCGTTCGCTCATAGAGTTGCATGAATTAACTATACGTCTTCAGTAGGTAAGTGGAGCACGGGGGGGCGGGAGGGGGGCGGTTTCGCATCTCTTATCACGGCATTCGATACTGAATCTTTTATCTCACGGTCTTCACGCTTTATCTTGTGACCTCTCGTAAGCTAGTCCGTTATTTAGACTTTGCGGTAAGTCTCGTCGGACTTGCGCGACTTGTGTGGTAATAAAATTGACTGACCTGACAATATGCTTGTGTCTTTCAACCCAGTACTTGATGGCACTTCTGACGAGCATCTCTTGCTTCTTCGTTAATCCGTTCGGTCCTACGCCACCATTGAAAGTCATACCAGCAGTTGGCCGGAAAGTTGCCGTGAAGTCCTGTCGATTGCTGTATATATTACGAAGATCGAGGTCCAGCATGTTGTCGCCCTGGGCTGCTGCCGAAGGTGGTGGCGGCTGATTGTTCTCATTCGATTCACGAAGATGATCCGCACTACCAGCCTGTATGCACAAAAAAATCTCATTGACACATTAAATCTGAGGAAAATTTTAATTATGCAGAAATTTGCATCGTTTATTTTAATACTTTAGATGACAGAAATTGCTTCTTATGTCAACGTTAAATTTTGTTTAAGAAGCTAATTTTGATTTTAATATAAAAAGAAAATCCTATTTTTATTTTAAAATAGAAATGAAATTTTTTTTATATTGATCAAAATAAGCATCTTAAAAAAACTTTTAAATGTAAAAAATGAAAAAATATATAGATCTAGATTTGAATGCGGGGAATAAAATTTATATGATCAACATTATCTGTGGAGATTGAAATTCGACAGACCTTGAAGAGCTCGCTGCTATTCGGTACCACCGTATCCAAAGTTGCGCTCAACTCCATGAGTGGTTTCATAATCTGTTTCAAGTGCTGCAACTGTTCACAGGCAAACAATAACCACGAGCAGAAAAGCACATCCAATGAATTGGCATTAACAAGCATGAAGAACACCCAATAGAATTGGTAGATGAGTATCAATATATGCGTTATTCCCCTGCTGGCATCGAACGGATAGAACGAACGGACCAATAGTTGCGGTAACTAAATTATAAGAAGTGTCATGTATACACAGAAAAAAGGTACTCGGGTAATTATACTATACAATAAATGCAATATAAATGCATATATATTATAGATAAAAAAATCAAATAAAAAAAAAAAGAAGTATGTAAAGATAAATATTTGACTTATATACGTACATATACATAACGTGTCTTAATTATATATTGATTATACATTATAATTTAAATTATAATTATATTTCATTATAATTCTGTTATTTAAATTATATATTATAATTTTAATAATTGTATATTAATAATAAAAAGCGAATGTCTAATGTTGCTTTTTATTTTTAATACACATATATATAATTAAAATATAATTAAGCATAAAGATAAATTAAATTATCTTAAAGCATTTTTTCTTTTTCATTTTCAATAATTTTTAATTTTCCTTGTTGAGCGGAAATATGTTTTGTATTTTATAAATTTGAATTATTACCTGAATAATTGTCGTCTCATTCGTAATTGGATCTACGAGTTTCCTAATCGGGTGTTCAAAGAACGTAAGAGTGGTCCAAGCTACCGCAGTGAGCACGGTAGTGACGCCGACCAAGAAGAGCAGCAGCCTCATCTTCTTCAGAGCAATCGCGTGGTATCTCGCATTGCTCTCGGCAAAGAGCGGATGTGAATTCGGATTGTTCCATATCGCCCACGTTCTGTAAAAGTACTTGCTCCTGATAGCAAAGTAAACGACCTTGACGATACTGTGCGTGAAGAAAAGGAGAGTAATCGTGTTGGCCGTGAGATCATCGACGTCGGCGCTTTCGATGATCAGATTCACCGCGCACAGGCCGAATTGTAACAGCAGCAGAAATAGATTCGCCTAGAAAAGATAGTTTTTGCGACGTTCGTGTACGATCTAGGATTTTTATTCACAGATGATACCATGAACTAATATTAATTTTAATGTATCGATTGTTAAAATTATAGATCATCCTAAAGCTATTAAATATATTGTCAAAATATTATTGCCAAAATCAAGCTAAAGAATATCGATAACTTCGATTTGATCAGACAAAATTAAATTTTGTTATTGCAATTTGGCGAAAATACTATCTAATAGTATGTTGAAACTCGTGATTACTTACACAGCAAAATATTTTATGCAAGTATTTGGACGAATTGTCGTCATAATAGTTGAATACGAAATGTCCAAACATCTTCATGATCCTTATGTTGGGCATGAGATCGGCCACTAGGCCCTGTTGCTTCATCTTCATCATCTGCGAGCAAATTGCACGAGTTGACAATTTATTATTAAACTACTTATCAAACGCTTTATTTCGTGGAGTTGTCATTAAAATTCAACAACTTTAAAATCCGTTCACTCAGAAAAAGTTGATTTAAAAAAGTATTAAATGATTCAAATAAATACGGCAGACACCGACTGTTAAATAAATTTCACAATTTCACAATTCAAAAAAATATATTTTAAATTACAAATAATTTTATTGGCATAATTCATTATAATAACATAAATATGTTATTATAATTATAATAATTAACATACATATGTAATTATTTTTTAATATAATTGGTTATTATTTCGCGCACAAAACATTGTATCATTTGTCATAAAGCAGTTAATTGTAAATGACTATACGCATGAAATCATAAGGCAATTATGTAAATGAAACTTCTAGAAACTTCTATGACTTTTCTTTTGTATTCATCAACATATAATGTTGATTATGTGTTTTTTATACAATGTAAATTGATATAAATTACAATTAGAAAAATTGATAAGACTTTTCTAGGTAGTCTTTAGACTCTTTTCCAACTCGTCGTCAAACGATACAAGACTCGAACAGAAGCTTCCTGTTTTTTCAGACATACGCTGTATTTTCGTATTTATAAAAGATGTCAGAATCTTTTTACATTTTTCGGATACTTTTTTAAACTTTCGCGTTTTTGTTCAGAAAGTATCTGTTTCGAAATAAGAGCGAAGGACCTACCTTGGTCGCTTTAACTATCCAAGATTACAGATGTCTAAAAGCGAAGAATTGGTCGGAACTCCGCGGCCAATTTATGATGCGGCCTTCAGCGCCTCGCGATTACGTTGCAGCAATCTTGCCAAATATATCAGAAGAACGAAGAAAAGCAAACTAACTAGCCGGCCTGCCATCAGTCGTCGTTTTATGGCACAAACAGTTTTGTGTTGCGAATGGTCTTGTCTCTCCGACCGAGGCCCAGGTACCCTCTACTTCTGCCTTCTTGTTCAACCCTCTGGTTATGACCTGACCGCTACCACTACCCCGTCGGTGCGAAACCCCTTCCAGTAGGGTAGGTACCAAACGTGGACCAATCGGGGCCCGGTAACCAGGCGCAAACCGCTTTGTCGCGTTGCGCGACGTTCCTCCGACGCCATATCGCTTCTTACGCCGTCCCCGAGTTGCACGGGGATCTATAATCTTCTTAATAATTTAGTACAGCACCGCCGTGCTCCGTGTAGTTTTCAACGTAAAGAAAGTTTTACCGAAGAAAACAGTCTAAAGTCTCAAGATGTCTAGAGCAGGGGTTAGCAACTGGTGAAACGAAGCTTCCGCTAAGATCGCCGTATATCAACGCGCAACGTCGATTTTCTGGATATTATTCTAGAACACTTTGCAAGTTGTGACCCTTATTACGATTCTTTTGTTAAGTAATTATTAGCTAGAAGATAATGCCTCTCGTGCTTCCATTTCACGATTGTATTAATGTTAAATAAAAAGTTTAGCTTGCGTATTGTAGCTATTACAAATGATCAATCCTATCCTCTTTCTATCATACAAAATTTCATGTTTTTCCTAAAAATATTTACAAATTAATTATTGTATTTTTATGTATCAATTTTATATATCTTAAGAATCTAGTGTTTCTAGTATTTTTTTTTAATTAATATGCAAAATTATTATCAAAGAATAATTTTGATTTGACAGATTTTGGATGGAGCCAATTTTCTCTAGTAAATTTTGTGGAAAATCACTCTCTTTCAACACGCAAAATCTACGTTGAAAAATGTACATAAATTCTCGTAAATGAGATGTAATTTACTAGAATACCATCATCACATATATCATAGGGTCGATAAAAATAAATGATTTGTACGTAAAGTACGAGCGCATACGAAACGAATGACGTAAAACAAATAGTATAAATCGGGCGTAGTTTTATCGTCGAGTGTGACCTATGTAAGCCTCAACGATTAAATATGTCACGTATCGACTTAAAACAGGGGCCGCACCGCAACTTACATGGATAGTACATAGTAAGGAATCCTTCATTATTTAGGGTGACAGTCCTTCGATATTACGGTCGGTTAATGATACTTTGTGCTAATACGACGGATAAGTCAAAATTAGATCAACATTGAAGAAGTTATTGATGGCACTTATACTTAGATATTTTAATCTTTTATTTAAAACGCGAAAGTTTTTTCCCCATACAGCAAACCTCCAGGAGAGTTTTCAAATTCTCACCCGAGTACCAACAGTCATTTTATCCTTGTTGCTTACCGAATGTTAAACAAGGATAACACTCTAGGGAGTCCTCGGGTGGGAATCTGAATGCGCTTCAGGGACGTCCTAAAAACGTTCAGAGAACATTCCTATGGCCTCTGAATATCGTTCATAGATGTTCCCAGGATATTTCTCGAATAAAGGGTGTCCTGTTCAAATTTGTTAATGAATACAATGATTGATGAAATAATCAATACATATTTGGATTTAAAACTCTGGATTCAACGACGCGATTTTACGTAAATCGAAAACCTGCAAATTGTGATGTTTTTATCACTGCAAAATAATCCTAATAAGAGAACTTCATGTGACTTATAAGATACTCCTTTGGTCGTTCGGGTAACCGATTTTGTTGATTAGCGACAGCGCAGTCGAATTGTTTTTTTGGGAAGAAAACAAGGCGGACGTAGCAATTATCGAGATTGAACAACGATCTAGAATTAAACTGTTTTGCTTTCCACAAAGTTTCTTTTTATGAAAAATCAATCGTGAATTAATTACAAGTGAGTGATGTATAATATTATAAAAATACGTGCATGTGAGGCGGAATAATCTAATTGCGATATAAAACGAGTAAAAACTTTTAAATTAATTTAGCGGAAGTCGTCATGTCACGTTTGGGTATCTTTGTTCTGATGCTGTGGTCGCTGATAACGTGCTCCTACGGATTTACGATGGATCGTGCAGGTACCGCGTCAATCTTTGCTTTCATCTTCGCTTCATTTGAATAGTCATATTTCTAACTTATGACAAAGTATAAATCATACATATATATCAATCATTTAGTCAACTTATTCATAATCGGTTCTTGTTTTTTACAGTGTGTCTTGAATAAATAATGTCTTAAGATGTTAATATTCTATTTATATTAAAATTATATTTAAAGACGACTTAAGAACATGCTTTTTTAAGAACGTGTTTTTTTAAGAACGTGTTTTTTTAAGAATGTTTATTATACATATTGATTAATATGTCACAACTCAATAGTAGTGTTTGTACCGCCTACATGGGACACGGCACCGTCCTTGGACACTTATCAAAGAGTATTTGTCGACTCTGCAATGAAAGAGATACAGGTAACTGGTATGAACAGGATCTTGCAAACTGAAGATACGAAAATATCAAAAAATATGTTAGAAAATCAGACGCGCGAGAAGAAATCAACAACCGAGAAAGTCGAGATGAAACTCATCGAGATGAAACCTATCAATGAAATAGCATCGGCAATGAGGAACGACGCTTCTGATTCTTCTGAAGAAAACATTAATGCTGTTATTACTCCTCGAAATATCATTTTGCTCTTGATCGATGAAAGAGACCATGAGAAAAAGGAAGAGAATTCGTGGAAAGATTATAAAGAAAGACTGCCCTTCGCGATTGAAGGAGTTCTTCAAGTACTTTCCTATAATTACATTAATCATTTCTATGTCGGATAATTTAAATTAATTAGAAAATTGAACATCTATAGAATAAATTTTTCTTTCATTATTTAACTCTCTTTTCTACACTCAATAAGTACAAAATAAACTCACGTTCTTACGAAAAAAAAATATATATATATATTCAAGTATTTTTATTAAATATAATATAACAAAATAATTAATGAAAAGTTTGATAAAAATGTGATACTATGAGGAAGTGGCGAGTTTTTAAATATGTTAAATTTAAAGAAAGAACTGTAGAATTCAGTTTTATAATTTTATTTTATACAATCTTTACTATATATTATTAGGTGTTGGAATTAATTCGTAGCGTTTTTTAATGAAAGAATGTTATTTATTTCACATGAGCATTAAAAAATACATGAATGAAAGTACTTCCCATCACTTGTAAAACGCTACGAATTAATTCCAACACCTAATATATAATACGATACAATCTTTTTAAAGCTTATTTATAGTTTAAATTCGAATTGTGTTAAATGAAATTTATAGAGTTGTCGTGACAAGATCGAGAATGCTAATTTCTCTATGGATAACGCGTCCATTTCTGAAAAGAAGGAAAAAGATTGCAATTGCGAGCATATCCTTCTCTCGAATATCGAAGAGTTGTTATCCTGGGCGACACATACAAGAGGAATGACAACAGGTTTGAAAAAAGGAAAAAAATACATTTATTAAATTATTGCAATTATTCATGTATTGAAATTTTTAAAAATATTAACACGAAAGAAAAATATTAAGAATTAAAAAATATTAAGAATTAAGAATTAAAAAAAAATAATTAAGAATTAAAAAATATTATAATGTATTCTTATATAAAAATATCAATGTATTCTTCCAACATTCATTATGTTAATTACTAATTTAATTTGATTTTGATTTTATGCAACAGGTGCAGTTTCCAGCAGCAACTTCTCGATCCCATTTTTTCCTAAATACGAGTCTAGCTCAAATAAGAGTAATGCAAAGTTAGAATTGCGTAAAAGCAAACGCGATTTCAACGACGGTTGGCAAGTAATCGATCTTAACGATCGGATAAGTTCCGTTCCCCCTTCGATTGCGGAAGATTCAAAGACAGACGGTGAGTCAGAAATGGATGTAATTAAAGAAAAATATTTCACATGAATATTTTAATAAAGATGAAAAGATTCACAACAGATCACATTAATTAAAGATTAAGAAAAATAAGCTAAAAGACAGTAAAAAACAAATATGAAACATGAAATTCTGATAATTTTAAGAATAATTCCAAATACGAGACATAAAATATAAGATATAAAATAATATCTTGGATGATATATTAAATTAGATTTTGATTATTTTAATCCTAAGTGTAAATAAAAAGATATATATGTTATACAAAATATAACAAGTTGACATTTTAGTTATTTTGACGTAAAATATAATCTTTAATTAACTTATAATAAAATAAAGGAAAAGATAAAGAAACAAATTTTTTATTTATTAGGAGATTTGAATTATGATACCACATGGGATATTTTTGATATATTGTCCAAAATAAGAATGGCTTTTTTTCGTTCTCTACTTGAATCATTGCACAAGAACGATGGTGTGTTCAAGAATAAATTTTCTTCGCGCAAACAATCCTTTCTTCAATCGACTGCGATTAATTTAATCGAGAAAACCATCAGAGAGCTGAAATCTATTCCAAACGATAAAGGTTACATGTTAGTCGCCGTCGTGCCGAAAAGTGAGGGAACCGCCGCTATTGATCTCCTTCAACGCGAAGTAATTACTGCTTCAGTCAATAAGACGTCAATAAGATCATTAAACTCGCAAATAATTCAGAGAAATATAAAATGTAGTTTAGCAGTTCTTTTTTTATTTAAATATTTTCGTTAAATTTTAATTAAACGCCGAAATCAAAAATACATAAATATAATAAACATAAAAAATAATTACATTCTTATAAATATTAATAAACTTATAATGTTTTCTTAAATCAATGAAGACTTCTGTAAAGAACACTCTTTTAATCGTAACGCAAATCTGTGTTGGAGACCAAATACCCGTTTCATTTGCTGCACAAGGACCGAATTGTCGAATTTTTCAAGAAGCAAGAGTTATTGATGAGCTACCAATTCTAATAAAAAAAGCTATAATTACAAGCAATTGTTATGATACCGAATGTATGAATCGACAAAGACGCGATGTTCCAATTAAGTTACGTTTATCAACTGGAATCATTTCGCAAGAATTGCCAGCGGAAAAGCGAGTTGTTAGAAATACGAACATTAAAAAACTGGTAAGGTGAACCAATCATGTCTTAATAATAAATAATGATAATGCTTGTTTATCTGTGTCGCAAGTTCAATATTATTATTTATATATTCAATAAATATATATTCAATAAATATATATTCAACAAATTATTTTACGTCTTAAAATACAGATCGATAAAAGTAGAGCACACAATTGTATAAATATATTAGATGTTGGAATTAATTCGTAGCGTTTTTAATGAAAGAATGTTATTTATTTCACATGAGCATTAAAAAATACATTAATGAAAGTACTTCCCATCACTTGTAAAACGCTACGAATTAATTCCAACACCTAATATATTTGACATATATTTAAATAACAATAATAATACTTTGTTGAATACAAGAGCAATTAATTAAATAAAATAAAGAAATAATTAATGAAATAATATATAATCATTTAAAATACATTAATTGTATTCCATTTTTGTACAGAAAACGGATAAACTGAATGGCACTACGTCAAAGTAGGTTTCTATGTTTGTGTAACTTTTATGTTTATATTATATTCAACTGAAATATTAATACAAATTGTTAATAGCAAAGACTTTCAATAAGGATTAGCTTCAAATTTTTAATAATCTGATCTGGAAATATGTCTATTGATTTTTGGGATAAAAATGACTGTTTTATATCTTCTGTTTAGAGCACCGTAAACATTGAAGAAAAACAACGAAAAAATACAAAGAAATTCGGCTTCATTGAAGACAATACCATGTGACCTCAGTACAGTTCTCGGTGCCATGACCTCAATTCTCGCCAAAGTCGCAATAACATCTTAAATGTAAAGACATAATATTTCGTACTCCATCTTTATATGTTTTTATTTCTTTATCTTTTTTTCTATTTATTCCTCTATATTTTACCCAATATAGATGAGAATTAGCAACAATTTTGATAATATTTTCTTGAAAAAGCATTATAAAAGATAATATTCGATGAATAGGGCTTTCGAAAGAAAAGAAAATTACGATGTTATGTTGCTACAATATCAATTAAATCCACGAATAAACTTTGACAATTAAATAATTACCTGTGCAATACATGAATAATTGCTCTGATAGCATCAGAAATTAATTTTTCCCAAAGGAAAATTAATTTCTAATTTGTGAAGCTGTCGTTAAAATCTAACGACAAAAAAAGCGAACTCTAATCTACTATTGGCAATTTAAAAAAGACAGGATTGACTAGCTTCGTATATTTGTGCGGGGCCAAGTATTTACCGCGTGTATAAACACGTCTTGCTAATTCCAGTCAATTACAAAATCGCACGCGAATGTATATGAAATTGCAACCAGTAATTTCATACACACGCGAAATCTTTCAGTTATGACGGTCGCCATTCGCGTAATCGTGCCCTGGTGCAACAACGGCGCATGTATCTGCGAAAGAAAGTAAGACGAGGGTATGAGTGCAGCCCGTGTGAGTTAGTCAACGTGTGATTCTATGCACTCGGAAGTGAATGCGATACAGAATCGAGTGTACGATTATCACTGTTATCTTTACTAGCAGCGTGCGAAAGTCAATAATAAATTCTTGAGAATTATTAATTATTCGCAAGAACAAAGACTTGCGATTTCGTTTGTGTTAATTATCATGATCACGCATTAGCAATAATCCGAATTTTTTTGAAGAAAATTTAATCTTGTAAATCTTACGTGGCTATAAATATACATTCGAAAATTTGCTAATAAATTGTGTAGTAAAACATATTTAATAATAGATTGATCTGACGATATGTACAGAGCGATTAGAATTATATAAAACATGCGTGTAACAAAAAAGAAGATTATATCGCAATTATATCGTTTTTTCCGATTTGATCATTATATCGCAATTATATCGTTTATATTTGAATACAGACTTGCTCTTTTCAGCTAAACTTCTTAAATGGTTTATCTTCCCTCTTTTTCTCTTCACATTAAAGAAAAAAAAAGGTAATATTTTTCATTTTTGTCACTTCTTTTCGTCATTTTGTCCTTTTTTTTGTATAAAAATTGTACATAGAAAATAACTGAAGCAGCTTCTGAGATTTCTTCAGATTTGCACGATTACTTCTTTCTCACTGTTTTTTCTAACGCTAATACATTCGCTAAATAATAGCCTACATTTATATGACTAATTGTGCATGTAATGTTGATATCAATCGTATAGTTATTATGCTAGGCCAACATTAACTTAGCAGTGGTAGGCAATGCATTTATAGAGTGTTCTCTAATGGCAGATAATAATCGTTAATATGACGTTTTCTAACTTTTTAACGTGTATAGTAATGTAATCAATTATATGAATACTTTGCTGAAAGAGAGAACTGTCGATATTTTTTGTCTCTTCTAAGACATTAATTAAGTCAATATAAGAACAGTTTTCTTATATATGTAAACACGTTATTGTATATGGTTCTTTTTCATATAATGAATGACAATGGACAAATGTATTAGCTTATTTCTTAATAGTGGATTTCAACGAAAATCGGAGAATATACACGAATATACCTGTGAATTTATTTACTCATTATACGCAATCGCAATAATTTTTCAATTACTTACCGAGGAATGGCGATAGCTAACTTTAATATAATTCCGTGATTTTAGAAACTCATGAAATTGTAACGTTTATATAACGTGAAAATTCTCGCCTGATGAGCGCGCCTGACCGCTTTAGTACGTACGTGATTCATCTTTTTTTGCTCTGATAAACAATAAAATGTGAAACTTCTTTCTGAGAATCGATCAATGTGTCTTTAAGCGGCTCGCATATAAATAAGTAAAAAATTATGTACTTTTATCATACTTTTGAATTATACTCTATTAGCTTTTTTTAGCTAGCTCCAGATGCCATGACCAATGTACGTCAATTTTATGCATTACACTCGCTAAATATTGATTTACATATGAATAATTATACATGTCATGTGTGTATATAATACTAGCTAATGTTGGCTTACTTTGGACGGGTTGTGACTCCGCTTTAATAAGATTGGAAATTAATTAATAATCTCTTCCTCATAAAATCTTTACGTTAAATTCTTTATATAAAATCACTAAAATTTGAATTTTATAACAAACGACTACATATTTCATTATAAAATTTCCAATTTCAGCCTATTATATTTTTAGAACGCCCACAGACGTTGTATAATATGTGAATATTTGCTTTGCTCTGTTTAATGTCTCTGGTATCATACAAAATTTATTCTTTTACGTCACGAAATGAATGGAATTTCTTCTAACTATCTCTCATGAATCAACAGAGCTCGACTAATTTGTTAGTAAAATTTGCCCAAAAAATTGCTAATCAATCAGATTTTCTTTTACGGCGTACTGTAACAAGCAAAGTAAGAGTGGGGCTTCCCTATGATATAAAGGAGAACCGGTCCACGCACGAGAAGTAATCGTTCCCACTCCGTTGTTCATTTGCCGTCTCTCGAGTTTGCGGCTCCGATCATTTCTCTTTCTGCAACTATCCGAAAGTCATCGTTGCCGCGATCATTTGCACGTTGAGTGTCTGTGCCTGCAAATGTCGTGTTGCACATCGGTCAAGGTAAGTTTGGCTCTCTTTTATAACATATATGAAAATCATCTGGGAAACACTCACGAGATCATTTTGCATGCGTATCATATCGCGTTAATATTACTACATAATATTATAAAGTTACATTCAATGAAATAAGCTTTAATCTTCTATGGACCGATTTTTTTTATGATTATAAAAAAAATTATATAACATGAAATCAACAAATATCAACATATAAATATAAATTATGTCTATCTGCAGACAAAATGAATCGGAAATAATTGAAAAATGATTTTTAATGATCATTTTGGAGTCATTTTGGAGTCATATCATAATGACTTATTTTGCTTGCAAAAGCATTTCCAAGCAGAACAATAAATTATATCAAAATGATGTCAAAATAATTAAAAGTCATTTTTCAATCATTTCCGATTCATTTTGTCATAACTTGTTCTGTTCAGGTTTGCTTTAATCTCAGATTAAAGTTGATACCGCTATCCAGAATGTTAATGGTTATTAAAAATACATTATATATTGATACTGCTATCCAGAATGTTAATGATTATTAAAAATACATTATATATATCAAGATGTATACATCATCTTGCGATAAGAAATTAAATAAATTATAATAAAATATCGATTTATTAGTGATTTGAAAATTATTCGGACTCATAGAGAGTTAAATATCGCGCTTAATGTTTATATTAAAATATAATAAAAAGAAAAGGAATTGTACATTTCAAATTTAATTGCGAAACCATAATTATTATTCGCAATGTCTTATTTAACTCTTCGAATTTTTCTTTAACTTTTTTACAAGGTGATTCTTTTTAAGAATCCAGGTTGTCTTCATTTACTCTTACACATTTTTTGTCGTCTATACTGCGACGCTTTCTTTGTCTATACTGCATTTTTTACTTGTCTGCAGATATATACTGTAGATATACTGCAGACGCGACACATTTATTTTGTATCATAGTATATCAAACAATCATATGAGAATGTTGAAAAATTAATAGTTTATAAATTAAAAAAACTAAAGATCTTTTATATTTGTGAGAATAAGTTTAAATCTATAAATTAATTTTTTTCCTTAAATATTACTTAAATATTAATTTTCCTATATTTTTAGAATTATATATTACTATTAAAATTTTTTAAACCTTTGATGTTTAATTAAAATTCAAAATCAGATCCTCTTTGTTTCTTTTTCTCTCTCTTTCTTTTTCTCTTTCTTTTTCTTACTAATTTGACATTATTATAAATTTTTCATTTCTATTGTAATCAAATTACATCCTTTGATGGTGTACAGATAATAATAACATAGTGTCTACAAAATGTTAAAAAAGTATATATTTAAACTAAAAAGAAAATTTAACTAAAAAGAATATATTTAAGCGCATTTTTAGCACTTTGCAGACGTTGCTGTGTTTGGATAATGCTCTTGTCACTAATGTTTTGAATACTTACAGACTTTCACGCTTGCCAATTTTCCTGCTTTATGAAAAGACAATCACGATAGTAATTTGGTGACCAAGAGCGCTTGCGCCATAACTATTCTAATTTAAAAAAAATCTTTTGTTTTTCACTTTGTCTTTTTTCAGCTTCAAATTTCTTTTTTTTTCTTTATAATTAAATAAGTATTTTGTTCTCGAACTTTGCGCGGAGAATAAACCTATAGTTTTCTGTATTAATTACAAGAATATGATTTTATAAATTTTTTCATATGATTAAATGGGTCATAAAAAATGAATTTCGAAATACTGCCGTTCCCGAAACGAGAAGGGGTAAAGATTAAGAAACATTCTCTCGGCTTCTACGTACGAAGCCGCGACGAGTTAGAGAAAGTTCGCGTTGAGCAAGTCGCTTTGGTCAGCATTAATTCCTGACATAAGAACGATGGGTATCTCAACCGGTTGTGCAATCCCTGTAGTGCACATTACGCGCGTAACACGTGTAACCGAAAAGGAGTCATAGACATTATGCATACAGTAGGGATGATGTCGGATTTATTTTGCAAGTAATTTAATTTTACGCTTTCTAATCCTGAAAATGGGAGACACATATATTTATATTTTTTTATTATAAGAATGCTCGATTATAGGGAATCCTTGAATTTGTTTGTCTATATTTGATGTCATATAGATATGTTCCTACTTTCTTATTGCGATTGTTGTGTTTGTAGATGCTGTTGATACAACCTACGGATGAAATGTCTAACCAGATACGAGTGGAATTGAATGAGAATGTAGCAACGCGCGATAAGGATCTCGAAATGATTAAAGAATGGCTCGCTAAGCAGCCGCATTTACCTAAGTTCGACGGTACATGTAATTTTTGTTAAATATATGTTAAACATATGTTAAACATATAAAATTAATAATTATAGTGAAGGCAATCTGCACAAAATTTTAGGATATTAAGAATCTAATTTGTAATTTTACATACCGCATTATATTTTTACATATATATAATATTATAAAATTTTAATATATGTTTTATTTTAATTTACATTTCATTTTATTTTAATACATTATTCATTCTCTTTAAATATTTAAAATAAAATTCTAACATGAATTGTACAGATCATCTAAAGTAGGCTTTAAATAGATTCTTTTTTAATTAGTTATTATAATTAATTACTATAGATATACAGAGAGAGAGAGAGAGAGAGAGAGAGTCATCATGATATAATCTTATCTCTTTTTAGATGATCAAAGAATAATGACATTTCTACGTGGGTGCAAGTTTTCCTTGGAGAAATGCAAATGGAAACTAGACATGTACTTTACGATGCGTGCAATAGTTCCTGAATTTTTCTCCAATCGTGACATTACAATGCCGGCGCTGCAAGAAGTAGCAAAGCTACTGTAAGGATTTCGAATTGTACATAGTATACATATGGCGATAGTTTAAGATATTGAAATTCGGAAAGAAACGGTACTCCTATAACTAAACGGCACCTCTAACTCTTCGTCTCCTTCCTGCAGACATCTACCTCCTTTGCCAGGCTTGACGCACAAGGGATATAGAGTGATCGTCATGCGAGGAGTCGATAAGGACATACCAACTCCCAATATACCGGAAACTATGAAAGTATAAGTTTATTGTGGTTTATTTCATTTCGACAAAACTGTACAGACATTTTGGCTATACGGAAGCAACGGTTTTGTTGAGTATCTAAAAATTTAGTTGCAAATCTGATAATAATTTTGTTGGACTATCAAAATAATTATGTAGGACGCTCAAACATGATGAGCAGTGCTCCAAAAAGTTTTGATGTTCTAGATGTATCAGCTTGAGCGTTCTGCACAATTATTTGGATGGTTCAAAAAATTATTTTCAGATCTGTATGTAGCTAAATTTTTAGATACTTCAGCAAAACCATATATGGATTCAGAAATGCTTTCTTCAGTAAAATTTTGTTATGTTTAAAAATGAAAGATCAATCTTATTTACAACACAATCTTTCGTATTAGTGCTTAATATCCCTTAAAAAATACATTTACCGATGTTGTTTCGGTAAATTTAATCTGATGTTCATAAATAACATTTTACCACGTTATTCTTAATTCTTTTTATATTTGTAGTGTTTATAATTGAACTCGATTTATAATTGAAATCGATTTCGATTTTTAAAAATTATTTCACATCGATACTTTATGTAATATTTCGTGTCATGATATCAGAATAACAGACATTATTATCATTAAAGACAGTGTTCATGATCGGCGACATTCGTCTGAAGGAGGAGGAACACGGTGTGGCTGGCGATGTCTACATTCTCGACGCTGCTGTCGCGACGCCCATACATTTTGCCAAGTTTACACCATCTCTAGTGAAGAAATTTCTGGTCTGCGCAATGGAAGCATATCCAGTGAAGCTAAAAGAAGTGCACGTGATAAACATCAGTCCACTCGTAGACACAATCCTTAATTTTGTCAAACCTTTCCTGAAGGAAAAGATACGCAATCGCATCTTCATGCACAGTGATATCAAGACGCTATATGATTACATACCTCGAGAGATATTGCCGACCGAATATGGTGGCGACGCTGGACCCATCCAGAATATACATGGCACGTCAATTTCACTATTTCTATTTATTTGGAATTTAGAGTGCATTTTGAAACTTAATTTCAAACACAATTTTTTTTTAGTCTCTTGAATACTTTGAGAAAAAAAAACATTAAATTTTCTTTATTAAATTTGTGAGACATCCGGCATATAATATCAAAGTGAGATATAATAACAATAGTTGTTATTAAAATAGTAATATGCACATATAGAAAACATCACACTTAAATATCTTTAAGACTTTAAGATTATTTCTCTAACTAATATCATTTCTTTTTCTTTATCTTTCAGACATGTGGATGAAGAAATTGGAGGAATACGGGCCGTGGTTCGCGGAGCAGGAAGCTATGAAGACTAACGAGGCTTTACGACCAGGTAAACCAAAGACGCAAGACGACCTATTTGGTCTTGATGGATCCTTCCGGCAGTTATCGATCGATTAAGTCGTTTAACGCGATCCAAAATCGTTATGGCGTAATCACCGCCAACGGCAGTCGTTAACCAGATCGTCAGCGTAAACTTCGATGTCGATCGATCATAAACTTCGTCCACGATGAAAGCTGAAGCATTTCCGTTTCAAACGATTACAAATGTATCGCAAATTTTTGTACGAACTGTGCTCGATATCGAGTATCTTTAAAATAGCGCGATTCAATTCGTATAACTTATATAGTTAAAACATAATATATTTTTATCAAAAAGCTTGCCAAAAAAATGATAGAGATGATTCATTAACAAAATATTAATATTTTTCATTTTTTAAATTTATTTATTTTTATAATTGAAGACGTCACGTCATTGATTATAATTTATTAGATAATTTTAAAGAATCTAAGAAAACAAAATTTACCTTTTTTATACAGATATTTTTTTTTTATCCAGCTTTCCTCTCCATCGACTTTTTTCAGATAATACCATTTGTGTTTTATTCAAGGCACATACATAGAATAATCAAATTTTAATATTCTTTTTTATATAATAAAATAATAAGTACTTTATATATGTAATCATATTAATGGCGAAACATAAAAATTATGTTTTACTTTGTCTTCTAAATTAATTAAGTTTAGAAATTTTATTGCCAAAGTTGATTCTTAAAAAGGATAATATCTCAATATAGAAATATTGTGATATAACATTTAGTCAAGCAGTACGTTAGAATATACCGCACTTTTATACATACATACATATAAATGCACATTAATAACTCTAAAACGCCTTTTTAATATGGCATATTCAGCTTTTTTTTTCCAGTACCTTTTCAATGCTTTTTTTGATTGCTTGTAACTTTTTTATTAATAAAGATATCTAACATTTATTTGGTACCATTATATTTCTTAATGTCTTTCATTTTGATTGAGAAAAAATTGATTACAATATATGTTTATTTTTATAAAAGTAATAAGCAATCAAATTGGGTTGGATCTAAATGTGTTGTTTCCATAGTGAGACGTTTTAGAGTTAAAGTTATATATTGTTATTATCATGTCATTAGTAAAATATGCAATAATGTTTGGAAATTGAGTAATGCTGAATTTCGTAGTGAGCCATAAATGTAGCAATATAAACAAGTTATAGTTTTATACATTCTTTGCTTGAATCGTCGGCGATTTCTCTCTTTGCACTCGTAAACGTGCAAAAATGCGGCGCACTGACATGTACCTATCATTAACGTGATGTTTTTTGATGACTTCAGATATTCATTATCGATATTCTATCTCAAGAAATGAGAACAAAGTCTTCCAGAATGAAAGATGTAGCTGTATCCCTGTCAATATTAGTAGGTAATTTGTATAAATAAATCCTAAAAAAAAAGAACAATTTTCCTCAATCAATATCGAACGCAGACAGATTTTTTGTGTACTACGTAAGTGACTCATATAGCAATGTTTTCGTCAGAGCACGTATAAGAAGTTACATTCATTACGATTATGTATTACAATAATCAGACAAGAAATTGCGAGAAGCGTTTTGCAATCTACAATTTCAGAAACCTTGCAATAAAACGTAAGCCCTGTTCTTAGAAAAAATAGATCCAATTTAACTTGGCCAGTTGCGGCGCCAATCACCATTAATTCGTCGCGAAGTAGAACGAAAACGAAAGATTCGATAAGAATGTCATATCCAGTGAAAGCTGTATGTAGCAGTTAAACCGCTGTGCTGAAATTACCCGAGTTTCCATTTACGTTCACTCGACTTCCTGAGATAATCAATGCCGTATTTCAATAATTCGAAAGTTAAAGAAAGAGAGAGTAACACTAAAATTTGTAAAAAGTATTATTGAGCTTAAAACAATTACCTTAAAAGTTTTTATAAAGAAGCTTTCTTTCTTCTTTTTATTGAAACGAGATCTTATTAAAATGAGATAGATATGTAATTAATTTAATTGATTTATTTTGTTGGTTTATCTTAGCATTGTATTTAAAAAATTGCATTAACTCTCTCTTCTGCTATTCAAGCGCAACTATTTGATATATTTATAAAAATTAATAAATTAAAAGAAATTTATCTAATTTATTGTTTTCGGTGTTTCTGCTAGTTTTCCGCATAAAGAAAGACATTTTTTTTATTCACGTACATTTTCTACATAAAAATATTCTTTACTAAAATAATAAGATTCTCCTTGAAGAAGAAACCGTTGCCAATACATTAATTATTCAGATTCCATCTATATTAGTCATATCCTGATAGGGTTTGATGATTCCAGTAAAGATCTAACAAATACGAAAATTATATTTTCTGGGCAATATATCGACATCAAAACGACGACGATAGTGATGGTAATATAATATTCTTTATGCCATCATATATGCGAAACGAGTAGTCGCCTCTTTCCATGTATCCCCACTTCTTCATTCTTTTGGTCACTTACATTCATCATTCGTCATTGAGCTGAGCTAAGTCAGTCAGTCAGGCAGCTTATCAATCAGTCGGTTAGTAAATTGTTCAATCAAGTTAATTAATCAACCTTTTTTACAATTCCGGAATCAATAAATTATTTCAATAAATTTCATTGTCAGAGATGACAATTAAAATAAGACAATATAGTGCGTGTACAATGATAATCTAATCGATGTTTGACAAAAAAGGAATTTGTGAAAGTAAAGAGTGTTTTATTTTATTGTCTTTTATTTCGATTAAAACTCGTCAAAATAATAAATGAAATTATTTGAAGTTACGATATTAATAATAAAGATAATTACGACAAATATAACAAAATCAGAAAATACTAAAAGCAATGAAAAAAAATCAATGAAATATTCCATAAAAATATATTAATAGCTCTTGTAAAATTTCAAGATTCTTATTATTATTTTCTACTTGTATAATTATTTAAATTAAATTTAGATAAAAATTTTCTTTTTATTTTGCAGGCAAATTTTTTAAATATAAAAAATATTTCAATTGTTTAAATCGACTTTTACAGTTTTAATACTCACTTTCACTCTTCTTTTGTGTGTGCTATATAATACAATATTATATATGCGACAATTGAAAAGAGTTTCCGGGCGTGTTCATCGAAGAGAATATTACTAAAAACTCACTAAATAATTACGGAGATTTCACGTTCAATCATCCGTATATTTTGTATTTTTCCTCGTTCTGTAAGTATGATTTCTTAATAATTTCTTAATAATTTTTCAAGCATTTGCTTATATACTTTTTCCTTGCTTTCTCTCTCTTACGAACTATATTGAATGAACTGGAAATTTGAGCCAATATTATTGCAATATTATTGCAAGAATAAAAAGAATAAATTTAAATGAAGAATCATTCAAATTAATTTTAATAAATGCCAAATTAGCCTGTTGCTGAATTTTAAGCAAAAATAGAATTTGTTTCAAATTTTTACCATTTTATATTTAACCGGTGGAGGAATGTTTTCGACTAAAATACTCTGTGTGTGTGTGTGTGTGTGTGTGTATGCATACTGTAATAGTGTAATGTATAGATTTTTAGTTATGAAATTAACATGTTCAAAGCTTCATAATTATAATTTCAATTTTCTTAAGTGCTACTGTTTTATTAATGAGGAAAGCACATTGATAGCGTTAGTCTCTGGATTTTCCGTCTTCATGTTTTGACATAAATGATTCTATAATAGACCCACACAACGGCTTGATAACTTATGCAGCACTCGAGCACGACAGTATCAACATTAATATTCAGTGAAGTTCATTTAATAAAGACCTCAAATTGTAAAGTAATCTTATATTTAGTGTAAATGATATATTTGTGCAATATAAATTATTATTAACGATTATGTAGATACGATTTGCAATAATTTCTTCACTAATGTATGCCTTTGCTAGCTTGACAGGTGGATCGATATTCTTGAATATCAATATAATGAACATATATTATACAATATAAGTCACCGACTTTCTATATATAGGTTAATCAATAATTATTACCATCTATATATGAAACTACGTAAAAATTGAGATTATCACTTCATTAAAGTATGAATCGATAAAATAGAAGATATGTATGAAATAATCCACATATAATATTGGATATTTAAAACGATGCGCATGTAACATTAAAAATCAGCTGATTTTTCAACTTTAGATATCATTCTTCTGTCAAATTGTGTCGAAAAGATTGGGTGCTTCTCACGTCTCTGTACGAATCGCTTCGATCAAACTTCTCATTCGAATTGTAGAGATAGCAGCGTGATCTGCATTTAAATACAATCTACAGAAGGAGATCGACGTGGTGGACAAATGAAGGGAGAGTGGGAGAATGATAGCCAGACGAAGTCCGAGCGATCGAAGTGACGGTAGAACGAGAGAAGACTGAGTACGCAACCTGTGCATGGCACATTCTGTCAGTGTTGGGTACACAAATACCGATGGTAGAAGAGGCAACCTTTGGCCTCTTAACAAATAACGCGAGGAACGGAACGGTCCGCGATCATCGTTCATTCTTGGTCTTCCGCGAGTCTTCCTCGAGATCGCGATGCAGACAGTCGGCGATATTTAAGCCAGTGATCGGCGTTGACTGGTACCGGAACAGCTACGGTGAGTTTGAATTTTAACGTTATTTTAAATGCGATACACACACAGGATATGCATTTACATTTAACATGTCTCTCTTAAAGAAAATGTTTTGTGTATATCAATGCGTTTTTATTTAAAAGGTGTGCCTGTGGTATCGAATTTTGCCGGTTCCAGTCTCTGATCATTTATGATTGATCTGATGATTTATCTACGATGTAAATTTATTGTAATTAGGATTAAATTTTTGTAGATCTATAACTGTTTCTTTTATACACATATCTTTTACACTTTTTGCACAAAAATATTTTATTATTTATTCAGATATTTTATTTATTCATATATTATTAAGGCTGGATTGTTCCATCTTTCGATAAATTTTAACTTACTTGTTCTCGCTCTCATTCTCTCTCTCTCTCTCTCTCTAACTTTTTCTTTTGTTCATTAGATAAATTATCACATAATTTATTCAAAGATGGAACAACAAACCCTTATATTGTTTACATTATCAATTATAAATAGATAAATAGATAAAAAGATTTCACATTTGGGATTTCAAAAGAGTAGTTAATCCAGCATCGTGATGCATTTTACAAGATAGGTTTAACATTTTTTCCATTAATTTCTTTTTGGCTCTGTTAACTGAGAATTTTATTCCTTTGCAGAAACTTCACATCTGTTCAAATTTTATTTATTTTCACCTTTGAAGAAGGACGAAGGAAACTTGACACTTTGCGAAGGAGAACGCAACGCTTTCGTGTACCAAGGTGTGCTATGCCGATCCTCGACGACATTGCAGTATAACGGACACACACGAGGTTTCTGAATCGACGTGACCGGCGCGCGCCTCGTCGCGTCGCGTTCGCGCTTCCGGGACGACAGAATCGTTAAGACAGAATGAAGCTCGACCTCTTCGTCACGTGCGTCACGGTGAGTTTTCCCGGCCAATGATTCCTGATGGTCACTCGCGATTACCTGCATACCTGCAGTACCTCAAATGTTGCCTTGAACACGACGGAACGCTGCGAAAATTTGTGATGAAATAAATAACAACATACCATAAGTTCATAACAGGAAAATAATTGCTAACAATGTTTTTAGTTGAATAGCTAATTGTCTTTTTTAATAAGGCAGAAATTTTGAAATCATTAGCTTTATACTTTTAAGTCTAACAATTCTATTCAATTATCTTCAATTGTCATCAACGAATTTTTTAAATGTCTTGGCTCTTTGTATGGAAATCATAGTAAAAAATTTTCTAGTCCGTTTTCGTCATTTATTGTCAGATTTTTCACAGATCTTGGACAGTCTTTAATCAGCGCTCGCGCTTTTTCAGTTAAAATTTATAATGAAAAATCTTATTTTTTCTGTCTGAATTTGTACACATTACATAGACATTCAAATATTAATAATAAGTTCAGAAAGCACATTAATGGAACATTGGTAAAATTTTTATCGAAAATGAGATTCCATTCCTAATAAGCAAGAAACGTTTTGAAACATTCCAGCAAGTAGTATTACAGCAATGTTGTAACTTGGGAATTCCTATGTGAACGTGAGAATTTCTCTCTCTCTCTCTCTCTTGGAATTCAACATTTTTGAAACGTATATATTCGAAACGAGAAGAAATATTTCATTATTCCGAAGTTCGTCATTATTATAAATTTTATTCTAATTTATAATAATTCGCTTGGCGAACTTTGAAATAGTGAAACATTTCTTCTCGTTTGGGATATATTGTTTCAAAAACGTTGAATTCCGCGAAAGAAATTTTCACGCTTATACGTTATACGGAATTCACAAGTTTACAATAAGGTCGATATTTGCCGAAGCTATTGACGTTTGTCATACAGTAATTACACAGCCGACGAACCGAGGATTTCATGGAAACCTAGAGAACGCTTTGACGACGAGGAAGCAGGATCAAACGCAGCTGCAAATAGTTTCTTCCTTCCTTCTCAAACATACCGTTTCTCGAATTCACGAATTAACCATTTTATTTGTGGTGCTAAAAATGTATATATATATATATATATATATATAAATCCAAAATGTGACAAGAAAATTAGCTTTTTCATATAAAATGTTAATAAGATAAATGTTAATAAGATAAATTAATCAAAGATTATTTAAAGAAGTGTTAAATATATGTTTAAATAAAACAGCTGTAAAATATATATTTAAACAAAACAGCTTATAAACAGCTAAAGAATTCGCTGAAACAATAACGATTGCAAGAGCATTGAAAATTAATTAATCATGACGCTATTCTCCAAAATCTTTATTTATCAGAAGAGAAGTTAATTATTTTAGTGATTAAAGTAGAATCTTTTCTATACTTTGAAAATCAGTATTCATGATTTTTCTGGAATAAAACTTTGTTTGAAAATAAATTATTTATATAAATTACACGTCTCGCAAAGTTTTAATTAGATTATTGCGACCGACAATGAGTTTTTATCTCTCAAACGAAATGTGCTTTAATTTACTTTAATCAAGGTAGACGCAGCTGTACGAGAATGCAAGAATTTAATCCGTAATGAAGGCTTTTGAATGAACGAAGATTCAGCTCGCAAATGAATCGCGTTTAAGTCTGTCACGTAACTTGTACGTGTTTTGCGGATTTATCACAGCGATTCGCGCGATGCCGTCACATATAGTCAGTATATTATAAGCAAAGAACAAAAATGTATGTACATCGTTTTGTGCCGTTACAGTTTTTTTGACAAACAAAAGACATATGATTGTAATATGCATACAAAATACATATATTCTACTTCGCAAAATATATCTTCTCTCTCTTTTTTCAAAGTTAAATTCCTCGAGCTTGCTTTTCAAGGGGAAGAAAATAAGTGTTTGTACATATCACACTACTTCCCAATTTTTATATTTATTTTGTTATTCATTAAGCATCTTGAAGCAACTTGTATTCTATTATCTATTAAAATAACTGTTGTTGTTCAGAATTGAACTCTCTGAATTTGGAAGAAGACAAGTATTCAGTACTTCACAATTCTTATTTTATTATCATGAATTCTGTTACTTTTAGTCACGTTAAGCAATTCAAAGTCTACTCGAAATGATAATCATCAAATAAATTATCAAATTAAAATAGTACTGTAAAAAATATAAGTGTAAATATAATTACGTAATTTAATTACGTGGTGTTCCCAGCAAACGAGAATGGATTAAAATGGATTGAAATTTTTTTTTATCCGAATGTATTTTAAATAGCGAATACTTTTTTTGGATTTGATTGGATTCAATTGGATTCAATTGGATGCAAATGGATTGAAAAACTGCATTTCCTATTCAAAATTTTGAATTGAACAGTATTCATCATATGTGTGTTGTTCACAGATATTATTTTTAGATTGAAAAACATAGAGATATGCTCCATGCTATAAATGAATAAAAATGCATTTAAGATTGAAAAGCATTCATTTTAACATTCGTGAATCAATATTTCTGAAAATCTGAATCCATTTCAATTCATTTCAATCCATACTCGTTTGCTGGGTTAGCGTATAATTCTCACTGTGTTGATGTTAACATTAAACATCAACATGGAGCTAATTTAAAACCCTATTTGTATCACCATTATGTATGACATAGATTTAAAATTCACTGTGTGTTAAATCTATATTATGTTTATATTAACATCAATACGATAAGAATTATATAAACATCGGATGCGTATTAAATTCACACCTATATTATTTAGAGTGTGGAGACGCGTGACATTACGTTGAAAATTGTTCAAAATTTTGTTTGTTTTTCTGGACTCCCGATAAAACGGAAAACCAATAAAGGGGAAAACGACCTTATTTTTTCCCCGGAGCGTAAATCTTGATTGCGCAGATTATGTTATGACTGTAGTCTACATGGAAAATTTAAGACTCTACACGACATTGTCCTACATTGCGCTTCGTCCAGTACACGTGCACTGAAAATCATTATATACTCTCTCCCCTTGTAAACGTTCGGTCGTTCAACAATGATATTAAACACTCGTTAATGTATGATGTATCGACAGATTCTGCCGGCAATATTGATTACGTCGACATGCGAGATAAACGCTGTCCCGACAGAAGACGCGAAGGCAATCGAGAATGGGAATGATTACGCCCAAGTCCTCGAGCTTTCATTATTGTTTTACGAAGCACAGCGTTCTGGTAAGCTGCCGAAGAACAACAGAATCTCATGGCGAGGCGATTCCGCGTTGTATGATCGCGGCTCGAATGGCGAGGATTTAACCGGAGGATACTACGATGGTAATAAGCCAGTCACGTTTTCAATCACTACATAATTCGATAAGCTTATGATATAGTTATTTAAATCTAGAAAAAAATATATCGAGATGAAATCTCTTTAAAATTAAAAAAAAAATGTATAATCCATTTTGCAAAATTAATTGTTCTTATTCTGCCAGCTGGTGATTTCGTCAAATTTGGCTTTACGATGGCTTTCACAACGACACTTTTGGCTTGGGGAACGGTTAACTGGCCAGAGGCTTATGACGCCGCCGGTCAACTGGACGAAATTCGCAGAGCTATCAAATGGTCCACCGATTATTTTATCAAGTGTCACGTAAGCGAAAACGTGTTGTACGGCCAAGTGGGTGATTTTCCCGTCGATCATATGTTTTGGGGAAGACCCGAGGAACTAAACACTACTAGACCAACTTACAAGATTGATGCAGAACATCCTGGTAGTGTCGACGTACTTCTCTTTTCAAATAATTCGTTTACTTATCAGGAGATAAATAGAAAAACAAAAAAAAATACATTAAAATATATTATTGCCTTTAATTTTTATTGTATAGAATATCTAATTACGAAAAAATCAGTTTTTCTATTTTTTTGACACTCTTGACTTATCTTTTCACATTTATTACTTTCATTATATATTGCAATCTTATAAAATATTCTATTTACTACTATTATCAGGTTCTGATCTAGCCGGCGAAACGGCCGCCGCTCTCGCGGCTTCGAGCATCGTCTTCAGCAGCGTCGATTCTGAGTATAGTGCCAAGTGTCTCGAGCACGCGAAGGACTTGTACAAATTCGCTGACGTTTACCGCGGTCTTTATCACGAAGCGATACGCGGTGCCGAACGTTATTATGAAAGCACAGACTACGGTGACGAATTAGCATGGGCCGCAATTTGGCTTTTCAAGGCGACTGGAGACACGAAGTACTTCGACGACGCAATACATCATTATCAACACTTTCATCTAAAGGAGCGGCCGAACGCATTCTTCTACAATAAGAAAGTCGCTGGTATCCAGGTGAAATTTTTTATTTATATATTATTTTATTCTAAGATAAGCGATAAAAGGGTATCGAAATTCCTAAGAGAAGAAAATTTAGAGATAATAAAAAAAGGGAAAGAAATTAAGATGCAGGAATATGGAAAAGGCTAAGGCGCGATTGCACCAACGTTACTTTGACTTTAAGTAAGGCTTAAAACTCTCTCTATGTCCGTCTGCCTTTTGCTTTAAAATGAGACAGAGAGAGTTTTAAGTTTTGCTTAAAATCAAAGTAACGTTGGTGCAATAGAGCCTAATAAATATTGGTTAGAGGAAGAGAAGAGAGATATATTCTGCGAAAAAGGTAAAGATAATAGAACACTATATAAAGGAATGTGAGTAGGTTCGATGAACTATATAGGAGAAGAAAAGGGAGAGATTATAGATAAGTTATAGGGGGGAGGGGAGAACTGGATGATATTAAAGGTATAGAGTCATAAAGAAATTGTGGAAAGATAGAAAGATGATATTGAGAAGAAAAAGAAAAAAGAATTAAGTTCATAGCAGATAAGAGGTCTAAATAAATAAAGAAAGCAGGGGGAGAAAGGCGAGAAAGTAAAAAATAGCCATAAGAATAAGTAGGAGCAGAAAAAGAAAAATAAGATAAGGTAAAAGAGAGGAAACTATAGATAAGTGAATTTAAAGATTAGGTAAATAAATGAATAATTAAAGAAGGTACGCGAGGAAGATATGGATGAATAAGTAAGGAGACGAAAATTATAAAGTTCCCTTCTTGGCTATATTATACACTGAAATTAATAAACTATTCTTTTATTTTATTCTAGTAACATACATTAATAAATATAATTTATTTGTTACGAAAGAGTTGTCATTCTTCGACGAATTTGGCTTTAAAGTAAGGAAAGTTGAAAATAATTCACTAAGTGATATCTTATTTTTTTCTGATATTTTCAGCTGGAATATATTTTTTTTCGCTTTTTGTAGGTACTACTGGCCGAATTGACGGGACAGTCCGAGTACCAGAATGCCACTCGCGCATTCTGCGACTTCTCGGTACGACAGCAGAAACGCACACCGAAAGGCCTTTTGTTTATCGATAAGTCCGGTACTCTTTCTCATGTTGCTAATGTAGCCTTCGTTTGTCTCGTAGCGGCGGATTTCCTGGAAATCGGCGAATCACAGGAATATCGCCAATTCGCCAAAGAACAAATTGATTACATGCTGGGTGGAGCCGGTAAGACCTGGGTTTTATTCCAAAATATCTAAAAAAGATAAAAATTCATTCATTTAGTTGCGACGGATTATTTTATTCATCATGCAATTTCTATTTCTTCATTTTTATTTTTTATATCATTAACTCATTTTTAATTATTATGTCATCGATTAAAAATTTTTATATTGTTAAATATAAATAGAATATCTAAATATTTGGCAACCAATAAAATGCACAATAACGGTAACCAATTTTTGAATGAAAGTTTCTTCTTTTTTTTTTATTTCCATCATTGACTTATGTTTTTTTTTGCAGGAAGAAGTTACGTAGTCGGATATGGTAAAAATTCACCGAAACAGCCGCATCATGCTGCCTCTTCTTGCCCCAATAAACCGACACCTTGCGGATGGCAAGAATTTAGCAAGAATGCCCCAAATCCGCAGATCCTTTATGGTGCTCTAGTCTCCGGACCAGACGAGGTAGACTTGTTTAAAGATTGTCGCGAGGAGTATGCTTATACAGAAGTCACATTGGATTACAACGCTGGTTTCACCAGCGCACTCGCTGGACTGTTGCAGCTGCAATTGAAAAACGTGGATACAAGACCGTTAAAAGAAAATTAAATTGTAGTTAATCGACGCATAGATGAATTTCTATGTAAAATCAAGGCTGTCGTTGATTCTTTGCAATGATATACAAAGAAACTTTTTAATATTAAAAACTACATTTTGATTTAATTTTATAAGACTTATAATATTAATTTTATATTAGAAATCTAATTATTGTATTATATACAATATACAAATATATATTATATATATATAATTTTTATCTGTGAACTATATATTGTTGATATATACCGCAATATTGCGATAAAACTAAACGTGTGATATAATAACTTGAGATAATAAGTATGTAAGAGGTTTTACGTCATTAAGAACGTTTTAAATGCAAACTTTTTAAAACTAAATTTATAAAGAATTATAATATCTATCTATGTTAACAACATTTAATTAAATATAGATTGATAATATTGTTTGCAAAAACTAAAAAATAACATGCGAACATTATCAATAATCGCGTATAAATAAAGCATCGTTTTGTTCAAAATGATAGAATTTACTTTATTTGTAATCCGACAAAGACTACAACAATTCAAATGCATTTGAGAAAATGGTAACATAAGACTTTTTCAGAAGGTGAAAAAAATACTTAGATAGTCATTGATCGTAAACTCATGTGCGTGCGCGAACTGAGCCACGTAGTACAATATTGATCGCGCGAATATAAAAAAAAAACAAATGGTAAAATAACTTTTAAAAAAATAATAGATACTTGATATTTTTCTATGATATTTGCATTAAACACAATATTTTTTTAATTTTTAAATACACAGATTGCTTAACAATTTAACGTTGACAAGATACCATTATTTTTTCTGTTTTTATCATTCTCTAAAAATATTTAGGAGAATGAATCATCAATTCATTATTATTTCTCATTATTGCTTAATAATTATGCAAAATATTGTTTCCACGTGCATTATCACTCACGTCAATAAGTCAAAGCAGAGTGTGTTTTGTTACTTGACCAGGCTGCGTATAGTATCTCTTGTTTCTTTAATAAATCATATTAAAATGACATACGTGTCATCGAAGAAGCAAGTTTCCGCGAAGTGAAGACTCTATCTATAATTTTACAAGAGAAATGCAACCAGATAGCAGCGAGAATAAATTCCCAAGCTTTTCAAAAATAAATACGCAAAAGATAAAGCAAGATTTATTGAACATTTGTGATTTAAGTCTCCTTTGATCCGTGTAACGTGACAATAGACTTGTTCAACAAGGCGTAATATTAGCGACAATTGCTGTAATGACAATACGTTTTCCATGCGGTGGCTCGTGTTACAATACTCGCGTTTACATTACTCTCTATTATATCTATAGCTGTATCAGCACAAGTGCACCATCGCAATTGAAATAAGTGAATGCTATCGGTGCTGTCGTCATGCGGTGCGAACACATTTTTATCTGCAGTTTAATGTGGCTTTTTCTTTTCCTGTTTTTCGAAAGACTTATCGCGAGTGGTAAGTTTAATCTCAAATTTTATAAAATTTTATATACTTCGCTTTTTCAAAAATTTGTGACAGGAGAATCAGGAAATGACTATTCGAAAGGATGCGCTCATCTACATTGTGAGAATGGTAGTCATTGCGTAAAACGAAGATTTTGGTGCAAGGATCCTCCTTGCCCTGGCATGTTGTATTGTTCTAAATCAAGAAGAGGTGAAGTTCGAGAAGATAAATCGCTTTGTCTTCCGTCAGATAGAAATTTGCCTATTTTAGACTTCAATATTTATTGTGATTTCTTCTGTATTTCTTTATATCTTTTCTGCATTTAATTAATTTAAAATACTTCACGCAGTATTATATATTGTAAGTAGATTTTTTAAGTCTGCCTCTTTTTAGAATCTTTAAAGGGACCTCCAACGTGCGACACTGTTCGTTGCAACAGAGGACACATGTGCATCATTAAAGTTCGAGGATGTCATTGGGGTGGAAGTAATTATTGCATACTAACGGATTAATTATATTTCTAGAAATGCAGATAATATATAGATCTTCAAAATTTTCTCAGAGTGTAAGCAACAAGTAGCGCGCTGCGTATTGGAAAAAGAATATTACGAGGGTGCAGCTTCCTGCGCCGGTTTCGAATGTCCGTCAGGAAAACGTTGCATCTTGCGAGAAATCTTCTGCGTTAGTCCACCGTGCAAACTGATCAAAAGTTGTGAAAATGAAGAAGGTTACATCAAGCAAAGGAATAATTAATTTAATTCATTCTCAATCATACTTTTATGTATTTTTTCATAAACTTTTTACGTGTTTGAAATTGTTTAAATATATGTTACATATTTAAAATATAAAATAATTTTTTAAGCACATTTTGGAGCGATGAGTTCTGAGAATCTGTCATTAGAAAAGTTCCATTAGGTCAAATATGTTTTTGTATATAACTTTGTAACCTAGTGTTAATTAATATTAAATATAAGTAACAATAACAATTTTAATATTGTATGTATATTTTTTTAAAATATAAACCAACTTAAAATGCTTGTTAGAAAATTGTTAAATTTGTATATAATGAAAATAAATAATCGTTTTCAGATGTGCAAACTTGGTTCGACCAATGCAAAAGTTTGAATTGCGCTTCGGAATATGAGTGTTTTTTACGAAGGCCAGAAAACAATTGTCGCAATCCGTCGTGCACACATACGCCTGATTGTGTGCTCACCATCGGTTCGTTGTGATGATAAAATGCTCAAACTACGCTCACGCATTTGCAACAATAATAATCCGATGTAATTCTTTTCGTAGAAGATGAGCTAATCAGTAAATATTGCTACGGTTGGATCTGCCCACGAGCGCAAAAATGTGTAGTGCGAATTATAGATTCGTGTAAGGGTTTCAATTGTACCATCGAGCGATCGTGTCATGCATCTTCAGTCTCGTCCACTAAACGCAACATGAATAACAAGGTATATCTCTTCATTTAAAAAATCGTTATAAAAATCGTTACACAAGACTCGCTGTTAATTCTAAAGAGCAAATTTTTCAAGAAAATTCACGAAAAAAAACAAAGGATGTTATATAATCAAATTAACTTATTTTTATCTTGTATTCCGACGACGACTTTTCCGTCGAAACAAATCCGTGAGTTCACTAAAAATAGAGTAGAAAGACTCTGACAGAAACAAATGTAGGTCTCTAAGCAATCCTCAAATAGAAGAACCTTGGTGCAACCCGAGAGGGAATTGATTCGCCAGGCGCTAGATAGAAGAACGAATTACTCGACTACAAGCAAAAAGGTGGAGGATTTTCTTATATGAATGAATTAAAAATTACGAGGAAATTCAGTTTCCGAAATTGAAAGACTCGATTATGATTTCAGCCGACTTTACCAGTGACTTCAACGAGGAGACAAAGTATTCACTATACAACTTCTGTGTAAGTTAAGGATTTTCTGTTAACACTAATTATTATTTTAAAGATATGAGATGATTATTCTGCAAATGCTTTTCTGTTGTATACGTTTCTTTATATAGAAAGCAAGGGACAGAAGTTTCGTTGATTCATCAACAAATCGCAACAACGAAACCAAATTTAATCACAGAATCATCAATGAATGAACTATTTTTGACGTTGCCTTATCCTCGAGTTCGATTGAATCACAATAAACCCTTTCCAATCAACGATGACAAAATTTTCCAAGTATTAAACCTATACAATATAGATAGTTCAGCGGTATTATAGCAACATTGTAAATGTTATAGAAATATATCACTTCTAAATTCTTTAATTAAGAGTTCAGAGACTTCTCCGGCAACTGTATCCGCTGATGGGAAGACCGAGTCAACTATGTTGCGTGATACAGATAAATTCGAAACCCCAAGAAAGATCTACATAACAACCAACGACGAGTTCCCCCTTCCCATGATGTTAGAGGACATTAACTTCTTTAACCAAGGTTACCCGATCTGGATAAAGAATGATCCATATCGTTCGTGGAAAGTGAAGGACGAAGAGGGATGGAGACACGCGCCACAAAAACCGTACAAGATTTTATTGCCGCCGTATGAGCCGGTGATCCTTGTTGAAGATATGGGAAAACGAGGACAATTTCTACCATTCTTCACTGATGCATTCTTCACTGACCTTTTTAGCGAAGTGGTTTCAATATCTTTGCCAGAAATAACACCAGGTATTTATGTTAGTAGGAATTATGTTCGATTAACATCGCAGAAACTTAAGAATTTGAGTTGCGAGATATATTAAGTGTACAGCCATTGTTACAAAATCCATCAAAAACAAATTTATGAGACATATTTATGAGACAATTTAGAGTTGATTTTTCTTTTACAAAAACCATTTTTAAAGCATAAATCACTTTTTGCAATTTCTTCACCTCTAGGATGTTGCGTATATTCATAACTGAACTTTAAATTTAAGTTATGTCATAAATCTACTTAAAATTAATTGAAGAATGTAATTTATAGCTGGGATTCAGTTCATAAAGAGATCTTTTATAGCAGACTATTAATTAGTGATTGCCAATTTAAAAATCAATATTTGTTATTTTATATTCTGCATAATGAAGTTATTTAATTTTTTACGATTTAAATTTATTTGAATTATTAAAAATAATTTATTTAAGTAAGACATTCATATGTTTTTTTTAATTCGTTGTATAAATGTTACTATTTTAGATATTGGAAATTCAAAGACGAATAATACTTCGATGATTGCAAATAAGACTATTGATTATACAAATATAAATTCTACAATTGCCAAGATAGAAAATATCAAGACGAATCATACCGATGAATCGCCCGATCATAGGAGTTTCCCGATGACGGAAAGAACAAGCACTGCTTCGCTAAATATTCGTAACAAAGAACTAGATAATTCTGATGTGAGTATGCTTCAAAAGATTATCTTCCAAACGTTTGTACACACGAGAACATAAGGTTATTAGCCATTCGAAGTTGCACGCGTGTCAAAGAAGATATATATAAGAAGGAAAAAAATGAGAAGAAGGCATGAGGACTGAAAAGGCATGAAAAGATATATCTAGATATTTATGTTCTCGTGTGTATGTACTTCTAGTGAATTGTGGTGTGACAATTGTTTATTCCAACATATTCAAACCATACAGGAGTGGCGACCGTGGTATTTGATTCATGATTATCTGGAACAGTCAAGCCGCGAACAAGGATCCAAACCAAACGTCACTGATGTCGCAATTGATAATCTGTGTAAAAATGATTCTCTAAAGTTATGCTAGATCGCATAATGTTAAAACGAAATAACAATAAACGCAAGAAAATAAAAATAAGAATAACTGAGTATCAAAATTATACAAGATTATATATAAAAAAATTTCGAAGCTTTACTATGTTGCGGAAAAAACAGATTTAATTTACCTAAAAATAAAATAGAAGAAATCTCGCATACTTTTGTTTTGCATGTAATTAATGTCTGGCTTCACTGCAACGTGTCATTGATGTTTACAGATATAGAAATGATACGTTGGTCGACATAGAAACGTCCGCGAGAAGCCAAATTATGGACGAGAAGAAGAGCCGAGTTTCTGAAATGCGATACGTAGATGGGCGCAATAAAAATATTGCGACATTCAGTCCATCTGCTTCAACGGGGCAAAGTGATTACAGCACTCGAGACGAGAAATTCCACGGTCTCGCAAATTATCCTTATGACATGATATCCGTTCACTATGTTGGCAAATCAAGTCGCGAATACGGAGGATCTTCTCTAAGGTAGCTTTTAAACATTTCGTTGAATGGGGAAGGACATACAGGTATCGCGATGTCTCAATATTTTTATTTTGTTCTGAATTACTTGTAAAACCGGTTTCGAATTCGGTTTCGGTTTCGCAGCATGATATGCTGATCACATTTCTTCTCGGCGAAGACTTATTCAACAACGAACGTCCAATAATGCTCTCCTACGCGAGACATCGCCTTATTATATCCATAACAATAATATGAGAAACCGAACAATGTACGACGAATATTCCAGTCACGAGAACTATGACAACATCAGCGGCATCGAAATGACGGGATCGTGATGGGAAACGGTACCTTTCTGATCGAGTGCAAAATTTATGGGTGTTTTTTTATTATCTCCCTGTTGTCGCCATTCCTTTTCCTTTCCATAGCGTGATTTTAGAAACGAAATCGTTCGTTTGTAAATACTTCCGCGATTATTAGCCCGGGGGGCATAATAAAAGAGTAAGCAAATATACAATGGCAGCGAGAAATTGCAGTATTTCGCGTACTTTGGAGAACGGTGTCAGGCAACATGTCTGCGGAAAATGAATTTATCCCTCACGAATATCGTTTCTCTTCTCACTTAGATAATATCATATGAGATAATCAAATATACAATATTATCCTTAGCTTATCTTTCGACTTTTTTGCAAATTCAATTAGGAATTTCTTTCGGACAATACGTATTGTATTGACTAAATTAAACAATTATCTAATTCGATTTATTATGGCACTTATTCCTTAATTATTATTTAATTTGAGATAATATATTATTATTCTTAGAACACGATAATTTAATCAACACAAACAATAGTCATAACGATTAATGACTACATTTCTTAATGACGAAGAAATTCTGTATCGTACAGAATTTCTTCGTCATTAAGAGATCTTCAGCGGAAGCGTCCGCAATAATTTAATTAATGCCTACCGGTTCCTCCACCGGCGCATCATCGCGAAATTTCTTTGTGATGCGTAAATTCCCGAAACTGTTCCTGCGAGTGCGAAGCAGAAGAGAGAAGGTAGGAAAGTGGTGGAAGTTGTCGAATATTACCACGGCGATGGGGAATGGTACCGGTCTAGTCGGCCGTTGATCGCGGTACCGCGAGCTACACTTACTCTCTCGTGCGTCTTTTCCGCGCTGTGCTGCGGGCTGCCCCAGTCGAGCAATTATCTTTCGAAGGATACGGGGTGACCATCCTTGAAAGGTGAGTTCTTTGACTTTTCTTCTCTGCTCCGGTCTTGGTGAGACCTACGAGACCTTGAAACCGGTGTAATTTTGGCGAGTCAAGATATGCTGTACTGGAGATAATTCCTGTATCTCTTTACTCGTGATAGCAAAACCAGGACGGTTGATGCGACCCATAGTTTCCATATTTGTGAAATATAAATATGAACTATTATTATCAATGAAGTTTTAATAGATTTTTTTATTCATTTTTTATTATCTTTAAGAGAAAGAAAAAGGAAGGAGGAAGGCACAAAGAATTGTTACTTTTAATTAATTAATTAATTTCGTAATTAATTTTGATTGTTTTACATAGAACCAGCTTATAAAATGAAATATTATATCAAACTGAGATAAATTTTTCCAAGTAATACTCATTCAAAATTCTAACGACTATGTAATTATTTCTGTGCATGTACAAGATGAAAATTAGTTAGCGGATTAATTGATAAAAACATCTATCAACTAAAAAAAGAAACGTCTCATATATATATATATATATATTTCTCATAAAAACATGCATTTATAAATATGTATGAGTGTTTGTATATTTACATATCTGACAGGAAAATGAGTGAAAGGCGTATCTGAGCCTCGTCTTCTTGTCTCTGATATGTGTTACACGCTTGATGCATTTTTGCAACTAGAAATTGTGTCTCTGTACAATATAGTTAATTATTTATTAAATAAACGCAGTGATAAATACGCAGGATTAATTCGCTATATGATAATCGTATACTTTGACATCAAGCGTCATCAGACGTACCTCTCCCTTTAAACACATAATCGTCACCGCAGCGACATGTACGATGTCCTTGTCGAATATGCATAATTCGTTTTTTAAATCTATCTATAGATAAGATACAATATCCACTCGCAAGTCCTTGAGAGACATATTCGTGCTTAAAGATCGTATCAAGTCAATCACGTGAGAGAAATGCACGAAACGTGATGATTCTTATCCGTTTATCAATGTCAAATTAAAGTCATATAAAGTTTTAAGATTAATCATAATCACTTTGTTTTCTGAAATGTGAATTGTTTTCTATGATTGTATATAATTATTAAAAAAAACTGATAACGGTTTGTCATATAAACAATAATTTTTCTACTAAAATCGTAAATCTTGAAAATTATAAAGCACGTATATGACATAATTGTGTTTAATACAATACATTATATATTAGGTGTTGGAATTAATTCGTAGCGTTTATATTATAATATATATATTTGCCTATACCTAGCAGCTTTGCTCGGCTGTGTTCATTAAAAAATAATTAAGCAGATATCCGACCGTATATAGAAGAGAATAATTTTTAATCGCATTAAACCGCAATGAAATTTGCCATTATTGAATATCTCGTAATTATATAAAAATTAAAATTATTCAGACGAGTCGTACGTTCAGATCTTATGCATAACGCATTGCATAACATTGTAATCAAATAGCTACCACAGAAGATATCCGTCGGAACTGGATATAATAAGGTGTATAATAAGGTGAACATAGCAAAATAGAAATTGACATGGAAAATCACGTCAGGAAATATGTAACGTAGCGTGTAATATCTACATTTTCACGCTCAAGAATCAAGAAGCATATAGTAGTGATTTGCGGGAAATTATACTCTCTTTGTGGCGATTGCGATGTTGTTAACGCCAACGTTAAGCATTTTTAAGTTACATAAATTCCAATTAACACCCTCTCAGGTACTACGGTCTTCTCGTGCAAACAATCATTACCCTGCCAAACTGTGCTCTGTTACGCGATTGATTGTATATGTTACGTGTAACACACATTGGATAACAATATATGAATAATAATTAGAAAAAATACAAGCTGTCAGTTAACGTTCATGCGAGATCAGGGGATAATCTCACGCGATCGAGAAATTGAAGCGTACAAATCATAAGTATATTCTCGCTTTTATTTCACATGTAAAAATTTTGAAGAACCCCTTGAAGATAATAAATACATACGATTTTGTCATCTATATTTCACAGGTAAAAATTTTTAAAAATCTCTTGAAAATACATTTAAAAAGTATTTAAGACTTAATTATATCCAGATCATCAACGTAAGAAATGAGGTGCGATGGGAATTCTCTAGGGAGAGGAAAGACTTATTTCGTTATCATATATATTAAATTTACATATTGCGATAATTTATGTAAAATGAGAAGCAAGATGCGTTCTTTAGAATTGCTAGGATTATGAGTAAGCAATTTCTCAATGGCTCGTTGATGCTCAGATGCACGCACGTAAGATAATGGAGGAAAAATGAGCAAAATTATACTTCCATTACTCTAAACGATCGAAAATTACTTTGTTTATTCGTGATTTTCCATTTCGAGCGAAAGATATCCAGCGGACATGGACGACGCACTAATTAATCAGGAAGCGCATTAACGTCGAGTAAAATAAATAATAAGAACGATCTAATAATAATTAAACAGGAATATCAAGCGTTCCATTTTGAAAGTGGTATAAATATAGCCAGACAAAAATATGATCACTTGATTTTATTTTACAATTTATATATCCTGTGATAAAATTTAAATAAATATTATAAAATTTATCTTATAATGATATAAAATATTATAAATGATATAAAATTAGATTACGTTTCGTTTAAATCATTTCATACAAATCTAGTACGTGACTCAGAAATATTGTTAATTGTTACATATCATAATTTGTAGAAATCATTTCCGACATTTTTAAAATTCTAATTTCACTGAATCATTATTATTATTATACTATTACCTTTGATAGAATAGACAAATAAGACGAACTCATTTCCTACTTTGACTGTCGAGTTTTGTTTATTACATTCAGCTTCAGGTATACATTATGGTACTTTAGTACGTAATTGCAGGAGCCCGAATTTGCCTGCAGCTATACGTCCCTCGAGCGTATATATACGCTCCTTCGCAAAGCCTCAACACCGTTACGTTCACTGACCGAGAACCGCGCACTGTCTCGCCGTCGATTACGAAAGTCATGCTATTTTACAGCTTCTCCTTCTGTTTTCTTACGTCCTCACCGTGTTGTGTCAGGTACATCCGTGCGATACAACCTGTCGGATGTAATTTCGTTAATAAAAGCCGTCCCTTATTAAAGATCTATCTCTCATCCGTCTCGTTAAAAATCCATCGAACTGATGTCAGATTTTAGACGCAGAATTCACTGATCTGTCAATAAAAAAAAATTTAGCTTTATCTTTCTCCTTAATAAATTTGAAAATTTGTGAAAATTCTCTGAATGTCTAGAAATTAGAAGAAATAATCCACGTATCTTTAAAATATAATAAATATTATTTATAAAAAAATCATGACAATATCGACCTTGGCATCTAAATCTTTCTCATACAACATACTTTATTCGCAGGACATTTTAGGAATATCCTTAGGACAAAGAACGTCTCCTGGATCCATTTAGGATGTCTCTCGGAGATCTGTGCTGTATAGATTTCCTTTTCAATGAAGAGAAGATGTACGGCGTGTTGCTCTCTTTGTTTTTCCACATCTCTCATGCTTTCTCACCGAAAATTTAAGCGTCGCGTGAATGCAATCCCTACATACAATCGTTACGCTTCACTCGCGGGTTCGCGGTAGAAATTCGGCGCGTTACGCCTCGCGCGATTATGTATCCGACTGTGAGAAATGTCGGAAGAGGAAACACGCGGTGTAAAAAAAAAAAAGTTTCACCGCCGTATACGCGTACGCGCGCATACAAGGCAGGCGCGCATTCCGAGGGAGACGCAACGCGAGAGAATTGCATTGTAGAAAGCACGTGCGACGCGCCTCCCGCGAAGAGGAATCGCGCCTCTCAATCGCGCCGGTCGCTGGTCGAACGGAGCTGAATGAATTTACAGCCGGACATTACACACTCTATTACGGGGCTGTTACACTGTTCGACGGTGACGACGACGGCGACGTCGGTATGCGCACTCTCACTCTCGTTCGGGCCTTTGTTCTTCACGGAACGGAGCTCGGCTTCATGGTCCGCCGACGATGCAGCGGATCGAAGATAAACGCGCTCTCGGCGGATTGCATCGGTGCATGACTGGTTAAGGGATATTGCTTATTGTTAGATGCTTCGGCTCCTTTGCTGAATGAAAATATTACTTTCGCAGATCACACGCTTTACCTCTCAACCGGGCAATTAAGAGCAGGTTTACGTTGTATGTTTCAACACGCCACATTAACAGTGGAGTATTCGTGTATTGTTTACGCGTTGACTTTACACGAATTGTTTTCATGTAGGCAATATAAAATATGTAAATTATCATAAACGGGATAATACAATATAGAAAGAAATAATTAAGTTTTGTAATTATTAATATTTGACTTTTATATTAATAAATAAAGATGTATAAGAAAAGAGCAGTTTAATACTAAATTTGTATATCGCTTTTATATTTTTATCTAGTAATGTAAAAGTCAGATATATTAATAATCAAAAAATTTAATTATTTATTTTTGTACTGTATTATTTTCATTATTGTGTATAATCAGTACAACGACAAAGGACTCTTTAGTGATCCATAGATTGTTTACACATCAAATATAATAATTTACATAATTAATATTCTATAACATAATTTACATAGTTAATATTCTCGTAGATACAGATTATTATATTTCATGTGTAATCCTGATTAATACTACTAACATCGCCGTCGTGATTATTGAGAAATAATAAGTTTAATCCTGTATAATCATGTTACAGCAAAACACGATGACAGTTACCGTTATCTTCGAGGTACAAGAAGATATATGATTATCGCATAATTTACGTAATCACAGTAATACGCGTAAATTAAATGGTCATGCATTTCAATTTTCTGCGGTTAGTTATTGTAGTTGGTCGCGCGGCTTGGAGAAACGTTCTCAAATAAAATACGTTCTCCTTGGAATTAACGCGCGACGATTTGATAAAGTCCTTTCCCCGTCGATACCGACGTACATTATTTACTATCCTATAAAAGAACCGAGAACGAGCTCAGTTTCAATCAGATTCGCCAAAGTAAATTGTTGTCTTACGGTGAACTTTTCGGTGTTGCAGCACCGAATTAAAGCCTATTTACGTCGAGTCATTACGTGATTGATGAAAACACTAATAATGTCTCTGTTCCAGATGAGTTGCAATTGTCCGTTGACCACGTCCGCAGGACCCACTTTGGCCTCGACATGCGGTGGCTCGTCCTTCATGCTCTTCATGGGGCTGCTCGAAGTCTTCTTGCGTAGTCAATGCGATCTCGAGGACCCATGTAACAGACCTGCGCCACCGAGCAATGTCAATACGAGGTAAATTTCATACAAAGACCATTCTGGACGAGGCGATTGCCAAATTTGGGTCACGAGTAACCGAAAAGGAGACCCTAATCGACCTCGATGATTTCTTTCGACGGATTGCGCGATAACGATAATCAACTCGCCAGGAATTGTTATCCACGCGTATAGATAAGTACATGATGTGTGTGTACATCCGTCGGTCATTTGTGCGATAATCAAGTGTGCGTTAATGACATAAAATGACGTTGAAGGAAAATGAAAAGGATTTTAACGTTTGATTTTGTTATATTAACTAGATATACAATGTTCAGTCTCTATATTTTATTTTTACATCTTTAATTTTAATTTGTTAAATAGTCGTTATTATCGTGTTGACTAATTTTTATCATGTGCACCATTTTTTATTGTTAGGGCAAAAACATGATAGACAAAGTGTCGGCCGACTATTGTGTCATTGATGAAAAGTCCATGACAATATATGTAACCATTGCACGCACACAATACATTTTTAATTGTTTTCCATAAACGACACAGTCCGTCGACTGTGTTTTAGATCTATTCTTTATCGATAAACTCTCTGAACTGTTTCTTCCACTTCAATTCATTGCACCGTTGTGCACCAGTTTAGAATTCTTCAATAAAGAACGGGGCTTTTGTTATATGCTCTTGGCCTTACTAATGATCTATCTTAATTGTTTCTGTGTAAATTGCTTTATCTATTAAGTCCAGAGCATACAAAAAAAAGCAGTAAGCGAATTGGCTAATAAAGTTCATAAAGCCATAACGTAAGCAAATCAAACATATTGATTTTCTTGTTGCTTACGTTTTACTGCTTAAGTCTTTTGCCATTATCTTTATTATCTATCGATTCTGAGTGGAAATTATGTTCCCTATGGCTACGTTTATTTTAGCAACTCAATAGCGCTCTAATTAGCAGCATTTTATCCTTGTTCTTTATTAAATATTAAAAAAGGGCAAATTATACAAGCGTTTAAGTCATTTAAAAAATATCCGCGGTTTTTTGTTCAATTTTTGAATGAAAAAACCGCGAATACTTTTTAAATGACCCAATATATTGGATATTAAGCATTCCTTATTTAGGACATCTTCTTATGAAAGAAATTTCCTGCCTTGTGATCGACAATCATGTATATCTTTGTGTATTATTTGTGAATATCTTAATCATTATTATTTTTATTGTTAAATTAATTTGCTTATTAAAATATTACTGCGCCCTAATTAATTACGCGTCAATTTGCATTTGTCGTCTTTACTCTTTAAAACTTTTGAAGTGAATTCTCACTAAGAAATGAAATCTCATTGTTGCAGACTGAAAAGTGTGTCGTTCTTTTCAAGACATTCAATTTTCACTTTTTAGAGTGAGATTCCACTAAAAATTTAGAGAGTGTACATTAATTCCTGTCGAATATGGCAAGTCCTATTTTACATTAAAACTGAAGATTAAGATCTCGGAAATTAGGAATGGCATATCTCCCGAGAGTTCATGAATGTCGAAAATACACACATTCATAAATCTCATTGAGTCGCTGAGTCACGAATGTCCGTCGGATTGTCAATTTATCCAACTATCGCGGTTATCAGCAATTATCCGGATAGCGGGAACGCGAGCTTAGGAAACTCGCAAACACGATTTCCTTGTTTTCGTATCGTTTGATCGTCCGATCGAGGTCGGGAGATACGGTCGCGAGGATGAGTCTACCACCATCCCGAGTGATTTCCTTATCTCGCGACCGCATTGTGCGCGCACTGAATGTAATAACACGTCGCACTTTTTCTCTTTCCCGCATGGGATCTTTTGGGACTTATCGATGAGAGAGATTTCTTCCGCCAAGAAGAAGAGAGCATCGTATCCACGGGAAGTGTTCCGCGACGAATCCTAAATACGGATATACGATTGTGTCGCGGGCACACGTTATTCACGTAATACCGCAGAAGTACTACCGGCGCTTTTCTCGTTTCTCTCTTTCTTTCTCGGAAAAACACGAGCATCCACGCACACCTCCATCCGCGAGATCGTTGTTACGCGCGTACGTAATATCGCGGGCCATTGTTCCGATGCATCTCTTCGTTGCGTCACATCTCGTCGCCTCATCGACGCGCACTTGCGCTGCACGCACCGACGCGCGAAAGGAGCAGAGAGCTCTTTTATACTCGGGAAAAAATTAGCTACGAAAAAGATGTGTCGAACTACACAAAGAAAAATATCATTTACTGCTAAGAAAAGGTTACTCAATTTATTTTCTCTCTTTTAAGTAACGGCTATCTTCATCAAAGAGAAGGTATTTTCTTGATAATAATCTATAAAAAAATATACTTACAAAATTTTTGAAAAACTCATTATTATGTACTCAAAACAAGAATTTACTTTTTTTTTTTGAAGAATATTGTAAAATTGATCGAAGAAACGAACTTTTCATAATGAGCAAATCGAATTTGTTTTAATTTAATAAGCTTGATTGAAGTATTAAACTTACTGGGATTCAGAATATATTTTGAATAAATTTAATGCTTCTTATAATAGATTTGCGGATATATAAACTTTTGAGATACTTGAAATAAGTTTATTATTATTAATTATTATTTGCGTATTTTTCTGTGCACGTAAAACAAGAGCATATAAAAATAAGTTTGTATGAAACGTGCGAGACAAAATTTATTTTAATTTATTTAATTTTTAAGTGTCTTTGATTTATTTATTTGATTCTTAAATATATGATGTTCCACAGAATCCTTTACGCCTTAATATTGCGATTGATATTCAAATATGAGCATAAAAGAACTTTGATTATTAAACAGTAATCGTTTCATATACTTTTGTTTTACCTTATCATGCGCGAAGGACATGATCAGCGAAATCGTCAAAAAAAAAAAAGGAAAAGAACACAGAGCGTGCAATGAAATTATTATGTATCAAGAACCTGTTTAGCGAAGATGAAAACAGGTTTGATAGCGCTTATGCTTATCTCGACTTGCCGTTACATAGCCACTGGCACTTAGACAATCTGAGTTATTTGACATATTCATTCTAGTAAATTTACATAAGTATGAAACACTATGTATTAATATGCATTTCCACAGGTAATTTCTGAATGTTGGATTTTGACAGAGTGATAACAACGTAACGATGTATAAGACGAACTGTAAGAGGTATTGCATTTGCATTACATATCTCACGATACGCTTAATGTTCACACAATGCAAATGACATTAATAAAATAAAATAAAACTAAAATAGTAATAAAGCTCAATAAATTAAATAAACAGAAAGAAAAGGGCTACAAGTTTTAGGCTAAAATAAAATAAATTAAATTAATTAAGATATGTAAGACGTAAGAAATCCATATTTCTCGTGAGAAATGTAATGAATTCGCTAATTAAAAAGAGTCAATTAAAAAAAAAATAATTTGATACTTTCTATTAACTATTGTTAACTACTTATATTTTTTTATGTTTTATTTTTAAGATCCTCATCTTACAATTCATTCATTTTTTATAATTGAACTACACTTTTGGAACTTAAAGTGAATAAATAAGTATTTGATATTTGGCGAAAGCGAGACAGAAAGTTCTGATGCAGTCTTATGTAAAAATAAAAAACAGACCTAATGTTTACGATTTAAAAAGCATGTATCCCTCGGTAATATAATTTTAGGGGAATTGGTTCCAGGTTAATCAAACACAGAATTGAGAGGAAGATGAGATTCTTACAGTATTTTATTATGTGTATACGCCGTTCTATCAAGTCTCGCGCGTAAAAGTATGTCATTGTCCCTCCTAGCGTATAAATACGGATACAGGCACGCCGTGGCATTCAGCGGAGAGCATATACCACGGACACTTACGATCGTCCCGAGCAACCTCCTGAGAAACCCGCCTTTCGCCCGATGTCGATATAGAGGCATAGCTAGAAGGGAAAGGGTGCACCGTCCCCAATACGGGACCTGGTGCGACGCAAAATCGAATTTACCAACATTCATGATATAACAATCATTAGTTTACTAGGTAAATTAAGAATCGAATTTAAGAAAGTTTAATTAAATCCCAGAACGAGGCTTATTAAGTTATTAATTATGTAACGATAATTATCGATTTAATTATCCAATTATCCAAAGGAAGAAGACAGCTTATCATGAAAGAACAAATAATTCAGTTTAACAGTGAGTTTAATTTCTCACTTTTTCCCGTAATAATTTCTCTTCATCGTCTCTCTAACCCAGTTTCTAATTCGTAAAAAGTAAGGAGATCACTTAATAATATGACTATGCTGATTAACGTGCCTTTCGTTGATGAGTATACGTCGTAAATTGTTGGAAACCGAGCAATCATCCGCACCAACACGACATTCTCGCTTTCGAAACATCATTTTTCAAATTAAGGATCGAAATTTTTCAGTCAAAAGAATTTGCGTAAGTTAAGAGTTTTCATCTATTCATTCTATTTCGTCGCGCTTCATCTATCACAAGATCAATGACCCAACTCGATAATTAAGCGCAAAGGCTGAGTAACGAGATATGCATATACCTTGTCGAATACCAGAGAAAATCAGAGAAGATTTATTGTAATGTAGTTTCATTCTAACACATTTTTTGTAATGTGATACTGTTTTCAAATATATGTAGGTTTAATATTAGAATTCGATGTCAACGCGATGACGTCTCTCCTTCTGTAGGTACGATTTCGTAGTGATCGGAGGTGGTAGCGCTGGAGCAACCGTCGCGGCCAGATTGTCGGAAGAGACGAGATTTTCCGTATTGCTGTTGGAAGCTGGCTTGGACGAGCCAACGGGCACCCAAATACCTTCCTTCTTCTTCAATTTCATCGGCAGCGACATCGACTGGCAGTACACCACAGAGAGCGAGGACGAAGCTTGCTTGAACAAGGAACACAAAAAATGTTATTGGCCTAGAGGAAAAGTATGTAGAATTAGATGGAATGAAATGGAAAGAAGAAGAAACCTCGATGCTATAATAATTCTTCCAGTCTTCTATCAATTTCTTTTTCTCTAATTTTTTTTTTTCAATTAAATTCCTGATTTAAATTATATCGTGATTAAAAGTTGTAGAGATACAAAATGTTTTTACTTTTAAAAGTCTTAGGTATTTTTGTCATTACAGAAAATACAAAATTAATGAATTTTCAATCGAATTATTGTAAAAATAAATTTAACAATTTATAATTTTGTAATTTTAATTAAAAATTAGAGGATTTTCTTTGTCAGAGATACTTGTTATGAAGTATCTATATGAAACTACAGTATGAAACTGTAGATAACAACATAAATCCGTAGGTCCTCGGCGGTACGAGCGTTATGAACGGGATGATGTATATGAGAGGCTCGCGCAAGGATTACGACGACTGGGCCAAGCTCGGCAACGTCGGATGGTCCTATCGCGACGTCCTACCGTTTTTTATACGAAGCGAGGATAATCAGCAAGTGAACAGCATGGATTACGGTTATCACGGGGTTGGCGGACCACTCACGGTCATGCAGTTTCCTTACCACCCGCCATTAAGTACCTCTCTCTTGGAAGCTGGAAAAGAATTAGGTACATATAATTGCGAGGTTTGAGCGACCACACAATCTTTACCTCTAAATTTATCAAGATTAATCAAAGAAATCCAAGATGAATTGCTTTTGTCTCACCTTTTCTATTTCTACTCAATTTTTAATTCTCGTATTGTCTATTCACCGTTTGTCTTTGTTAGCCTTTAATCTCAATGCATTATTATATTCTTAAATGGCGTCTACAATGAAATTTTACTGCGTAAAATTTAACCTTTAAGCCTTAAACTGAAATTAATCAATAGTCTATTCTCCTATATTATTCTCCTCACATTCGACTGTGATTGATCAATTTCTTACAGTTTAAGACTTAAAGCCTTATTAAATTTGATGCAATTAATCTTATTATAGACGCTTTAGAGGACTTACTCTAAAATTTCTTATAAACGCATTTATTTATCTATTTATCTATCTATCTATTTATATCAGGATACGATACGGTTGATCTGAATGGACGAACCCACACCGGGTTCGCCATAGCGCAGACCACATCCAGGAATGGCTCACGTCTTTCCACAGCGCGCGCCTTCCTGCGTCCTGCTCGGAATCGCCCAAATCTTCACATAATGCTAAATTCGACGGCGACGAAGATCCTCTTCGATGAGAATAACAGGGCAGTCGGTGTCGAGTTCCTTCATGACGGAATGATGAAACACGTGTCGGTAGCGAAGGAGGTGATCGTGAGCGGAGGTAATTCTACCGATTAATTGGGATAACGAACGCTTCGTCGGCTAGCATTCGTGTGTAATTTAAACCGGTGCAAGTCAGACAAATCTCTATAGACTTCTCCTTTCTCGAGGGCTCGAATATATCGACGGTTCTGTCTTATCTTTGACACGGAAGAAGACACCTCTGAAGAGGCGCAACTACATTCCTATTCATGTCAAGAATGTCGCATATATAGAAATCTGTGTTTAGAAACCACATGCTTTGCACACATATATAGAGAATCAGTCTCAGTTACTCATCCTTCCACAAATTCTCTCGAGGGATAGTAATCGATTTCTCTCGAACACGGATTGCGCATCTTACGACGTCTTTGGGACTAGACTTCGCAGTGATATTGAAGCAATAGAAGACAATGATAAATATACGATGATAAATTCTTTATCTTTAAATACTCTACAATAGATAATAAAATTAAATTTACAATAGAGATGAAGAAATCATTTTTTTATTTTTAAATCTTTATATTTTATAAATATTTCATGAATGAATAAATTTGCATTACATTTTACGTTCACGGTATTATCCAGTGGCAAAATCTGTAGGATTTATTGTTACATTTAGCGTTAAAATCGTGCACACAAATCATCACTCGCAATGAAATCATCACGTTTGTTCAGGTGCCGTTAACTCACCGCAAATCCTCTTAAATAGCGGTATAGGACCTCGAGATGAACTCAATACAGTGGGAGTGCCGGTTGTTCGCGATCTCCCGGGTGTCGGCAAGAATCTTCACAATCACGTTGCCTACGCGTTGACCTTCACCATCAACGATACCGATACTACTCCTCTCAATTGGGCGACCGCTATGGAATATTTGCTCTTCAGAGATGGCCTAATGTCTGGAACAGGTAAGACAGACTGCTCTAAATGTTTACTTAAAAATTTTTTAATTGTGTAAGAGTGAAACCAATGAAGAATCTAAAGAATCTTCCTAGATAACATAAACAAATTTTAAAATATGCATGAATATATATATATATAAAATATTTACAGTTATATAATAACAAATAAAAAAGTCAAGAAAAGAACAGAACTGTTAAAAGTAAAAATTAGGAAAATAATAAACTGTTTAACACTATTAAAAAAATTAATTATATATGTAAAATTAAAACAAAGTAATATGCTAACACATATGCTAAGTATATATGCAACAAGATATAACGGATATCTAATTACGTTTTCAATTAAATTACTCGCTGCAGTTTTGTTTTACATTTTATTAGATTTTGATCAATTATTGATTTGTTTATCATAATTTCAAAAAAAGATTTAATCAATAATGTATGTTAAAAAATTTAATTTCTTGAAACATAAATAAAGTTTAGCGTAGCTCTCAGAGAAAAATCGAAGAGGCCGTAGCTTCGATCCTATCTGTATTTTTACTCCACAAGTATAAGCCATCATTGTCTCGGGTTATTACATTAGAACTCGAGACCTGAGATCGACTCCCTAGGGTTGCAATTTCATTGATCGGGGCAACATTAGTCGGGTTAAAGTACTAATCTGCTTCTCCTTCCTGTTTACCATGTCGAAGGATGTTGCATCTCGGACCGTTAATTCACGGGCTTCGTGCCACGAGCAGTGAAAGTGTATTATTGCACAATGGTCACGTTCGGGTTCTGTCGACCCGCGATTACGTGACTTATCCCGACCGACAGATCTATTTACCGTCATCCCAATTGCCGACTTGAAGCCGATCGTCGCCTCGTGCGATACTCGTGACTCTCTTCTTATGATTTGTCAATGCGAATTATCTGATCCTCGTACCGTGCCATTATTTCACATACACTCCATACATCATTATGTTCGAATATTATTTCTCAAGCTTTCTATGACCCGAAGAAAAAAACCTAACAACGAGACTGAGAAATACAATGATAAAAATGAAATGGATAGAGATATTGGTATAATATTAAAAGTTAATAATTTAACGATGTATGAAATACGTAATATCTGACGTAACTTTTAGTCAATAGTTAATAACTTTTTTCATTGCAATATTAATTGTTAATTTAAGTGCGATAATTTATGAGAACATCAGTGATCATACTTAAGGTTGATCATCAATCTAATATTTAACAACACATTAATTCCTTCTCATAAATTAATATTAACAACTTATCTGCTTTCAGTGATTATCATGTACCTTTCTACAAATTACATTTGCATTTCCATTACATTATAGGCTTAATTACGACGCGTGTAAGTAGCGATTAAAAGAGATTGTATACAGGATTTTTCATAACAAGTAGGCACAACTTTAGAAATAAATTCAGGATAAAAATAAAAATTTATATAAACATATGTATCATCTGATCTTGTTTTTCCGAAAGTTACAGACAAGTTACGTTTCGTGTTGTATTAATTTTTATTTACAAATTGAGTTAGTATAGCATCTTAACACATTTCTGTTTAATAGTAAACATCTTAATTTAAATTAATAGTAAACATTTGAATAGAATCAACTAAATCAACTCAGTTTATAATGAAAATGTGTGAAACATGAAAACGTAATTTGGGAAAGAAGATCATAGACAGAATAAACGTTTATATGAACTTTCCATGTCCTGAATTAATTCCTGAAGTTATGCTTACATATTATTAAAAACGCTCTATGTAAGATTAATTATTCATTGTCAAGGCTGAACAAAATATATCATCAAAGTATTTGAAATATACAAGATACAAAATACTGTCAATCTTTCGATTTGAAACATAAAATACAAAATGAAAATACTTCCAATGTTTTAAAATACCTTTTAACCTTTTAATTATGCTATGTATTATTAAATTCCTCAATGAAGCCAAGCCCTCAACATTGCACGGAAATTCTATTTCACTTACGTTAGAGTTTCCAGAAGAGGCAGTAACTCTTATTGATAACATACATTCTTTAACGTGTACTTTAGACGGGGCTGAGTAAAATGCATTATTACATTATTTGAAATACAAAATACTTTTATGCGCTTCTCTAAAATACAAAATACAAAATACAAATTGTATTTCAAATATTCTATTTCAAGTACAAATATCTAAAATATATTCAGCTCTAACCACAACGAGGTGCGAACATTTGTGTTTATTGTGCCATTAATAAAAGAAAGAATGAAAGGCAGTATGCACGAAAAAGTTAAGGTCACGTTTTATCCTTTTGTGCGATCCTCTAATTAATACATTTAATTATATAGACAATTCTGATTGGACGGCATATTTACTTTGCACTCCGCTCGTATATCCCTGGGTCTTTATTAAAGATAGGAGAGTAACCGTTGAAAATGATGCGAGCATATAACTTTGCGTCGGGAATTCACCGAGTAAATTGCTCGGGAATTTATGTAAATACATACTCCGTCGCGTGTGTTATACCTGTAACGTATCCCTTTCACGAGACTAACTCGATCATAACCCATAGCGCTTTTTAAGGTATCCAGCACGATCGGTAGCCTCGAGCTGTGCTAGTTTTTAACAAGCCTCACCTCCGAGGCTGAACTCCTTCACGTCTGAGAATCGCGTCTCTTGCCTCCTCGCATGAACGCCTGCGGCGCGGCGAGACGTTATAATGGGGCACAGTTCTCGCTAAATGCAGCTCGCAAAATCGCTTCTCTTGACATCAGCTACGCGAATCAGTTATGCGATTTGGAGCTCAATTAAATTACATAAGGATAATGAACGCGATCCGGATACATTAAGTGTGTCGCAAAAACATCGATTGCATCTATGCTCGAAATACTGATGTTTCGAACTTCGCTTAACAGCAAAATCGACTGAACTGTGAGTCAGATTAATAATTGAATTTTTTATTTATTAATCAATGATATACTGATATTGGAAGTTACAGATTTATGGATAAAATATTACTACGGTTTGAGTGTCGCTTCAATTATATTGTAAAATAAATATTTGGTTGTGAAAATATATTTTTTTAATGATATAGAAATCTTAACAATATAATTGTTACCATTCTATACACACACAAAATTATTTCATTACAATTATATTAAATTAATAACATTATTAGATTTTTTTGAAAATAGAGCAGAACGAGATTCATTTAGCATTGCATTGATCTAGGAATATCCGAAGTGACAGCAATGATAAACACTAAGTACGCGAATCCGAAAGAAGATCATCCCGACGTGCAGCTAATCTTCGGCGGTTACCTGGCCGATTGCGCGGAGACTGGAATGGTGGGCGAAAAGAAGGGTGCAAACCGCAGCATCTACGTCATCCCGACTATCCTGCATCCGAAAAGTCGCGGTTATCTACGTTTACGAAACAACGACCCTCTCTCGAAGCCGCTGATCTACCCCAAATACTTGACTCATCCCGACGATTCGGCAGCTCTCGTGGAAGCCGTTAAGTTCAGTATCCGATTAACAGAGACCCAGGCTCTCAAAAGGTATTAACTTTCAATTCTTAGTAATTTTTTCATTAATGTGAGTAAATGCAGACGTGTTGCAACCTTTTTAAAAAATGAAAATTCCAGATAGAAGAGCATAAATACTTATGTCTATTATTATTTCTGTTTTTGTTATTGTTTTTACATTTCTTAAACAATCTCTTAAATCCATAGACGGTTTACTACTTGCATTTTAGATTTTAGGATAGAATTCTGTTTATAATTTTATATACGTGTATATATGTATATATTTTAAAATATATGTTTCTGTACATTTTTTTTATTCTTTAAATTTATTTGTGTTACAGAGTACATAAAAATATAAATGGAATTAGATTCTAAACTTTGACGCAAATTATATATATATTAGGTGTTGGAATTAATTCGTAGCGTTTTACAAGTGATGGGAAGTACTTTCATTAATGTATTTTTTAATGCTCATGTGAAATAAATAACATTCTTTCATTAAAAAACGCTACGAATTAATTCCAACACCTAATATAAATCGCCTAAAATAAACTCGGTCAAATATATATTTTATTCTTTAATTCGTATTTTTCATACTTAATTCATTATTTTTAATATTTTTTCAATAAAAAATTTTTCTTATTTTAACACAGATCACTAGTTTCTTACATCATAGACTTTTATCATAATCAAAAATGATTAAAAAATCTTAGATTAGTCTCAGGTATCTTGACTTATTTTCGATTCTAAGGAAATAACTTATAGATATGGTTTCGAACTGGACCGAACTCCCGTGAAGAATTGCGAGCATCTCAAGTTCGGCTGCGACGCTTACTGGGAATGTGCAATTCGTCATGACACTGCACCCGAGAACCATCAGGCGGGATCCTGCAAAATGGGACCGCCAGATGATCCAATGGCCGTGGTTGACAATCAATTGCGAGTCAGAGGAGTGCGAGGTGTAAGAGTGGCCGACACAAGTATTATGCCGAGGGTCACATCCGGCAATACGAATGCGCCAGCGATTATGATCGGTATGTAAATCTTTTCATCTTCCTCTTTTCCTCTTTATAACTGTATATGTACATGTTGCAGGTGAAAGAGCGGCAGATTTCATTAAGAAAACCTGGATCGGTTGATTCCACGTTGTTTAATCAAACGATTCAATTGCACTGTCATATTATTATTTCGTTAAAGACATTGTGTATCTCACACATATAAATAAGTGAAAGAGAAGAATTTAGAAAACGTATAAGTATATTTATATAAAAAAGTATAAGTATATATATATATATATATATATATATATATATATAGTTATTACTAGATATTTTGAAAATAAATAATGTAAAAATTAAGTGGAATACTCGCGTGCGCGTGCGCGCACATACGTATACTATTTTGGGGATTATTTGTGTTACTTCGAATCTCCTACGATATAAGATAAAAAATAGACATTTTACGTAATACAGGTTTGTATCCTTTTTCTGCAAAATTGGTTATCAATTAATTAGTTTAATTTAGAAATACTATGTAGAATTCCATTAAAAAAATGTGTATTTGTTTATATGTATTTGTTTATATAAATGACATATATACATATATAACTAATCTGAAGGACTATCAAATTTATTAGCAACATTTTATAACTTTATTGAAAAATCATGTTACATTTTTTCTTAATTGCATGACAATTCAGAATTTACTTTATACATATTTGATGTATAAAGATATATCGATATATTTAAGTTCGTTTCGTAATAATAATTTTTTGGCAAATGTATATTTTAAATTAGTGAGCAAATCATCTTCAATTGCGATCTTTCTCTGCGTTTTCACCGAAAATAAATAGAATAAGAAACTTTGTTGTAATGTAAATAGTAGATACATTGCCGCGGTGTATTCTACGAATCACTCGTAATGATGTACAAATAAAGAGTATTTTCGCGAGATATCTCAAATCTTCTTTGAAATGTATCAATTCAGAATACAATTTCCTTTTAAATAAAAATTTTTACATATTCCTTCGTTTTAATTTAAAAAATTTCTAGAATCAACTAATACATAGTATCGATTAACGGGGAATAAAAGTTTCGATAAAAAAGAAATGTTTAATAAGTAAAGAATATACTTCATAAAGAATATATTTATGTATTTATATGTAACTTTAAGATTAATGTATACAATACAAGTTGCTTCTTGCCTTGATAAAGTAAACAATGTTCACAAAACAATATTTATTTTTTATTTATTGATAGTCTATATAATATATTATATATATAAATACTAATTACACTAGCTAACAAAATTTAACTTTTTTTGATATCGCGAATATAAACAGTCATTTTCCTATGTATTTATGTCTACTGAATACAAATCCGTTACTTAAATTTGATTATTAGTTCGCATTTTTAAGAAAAATTGTGTCAAAGATGCAAACGTTACAATGTTTTTATGTCGTTGTAGCACCGGTAATAAATTTTATTTCTAAATTTATATCACGCAAAAGTATCAACTTTTAGCTTACAATGTATTTCTGTTCATTACAATATTATTTTTTGTTTTCAAGATATATTAATTTGAAAATATAGTTCTTTCTCTATGTTGATACATGCATTATTATTATATTATTACATTATTATTACACGAGAAAAGAGATAACTATATTTAAATTAATATATTTCGAAAACAAAAAATGATATCGAAATCAGCCAAAATGTTTTTTAAATCTAAAATATTAATACTTACGCGTAATATAAACGAAACTTAGAAATAAAATTTGCTATCAGTGCTATCATGTCATGAAAACCATCAAAATCGTCATTCTTTATTTCTCTTTGATCCTACTTTTTTCAAAATTGTGATATAATGTCAAATTTGGACAACGGATTCAGTAAGCAAATAACGTTTAGCAAGCAAAAATACATCGAAAATGATATTCATACTCATATTCTATAAGGGTGTTGAACAGTGATATCACTTAATTTTTATATTAAACTCAAATTTTTCAAACTTACTGTTATATCATTAAAATTACAGCTAAGATTAATTTTTCATTTATGCATTATCAGCATCGCAAAATTAATAACAATTATTTTGATACAATTCCAGGATGATTTCTACACAACTTGATTGTGTGACATCGATGAGCAATTATACATTACATTTATCTTCATAACGTCCAAATCGCTAAGACGCTCTCTCTGGCCGATTTTTATGTTTGGATCCTGAAAGTATTCAACAATAATCTTAATGGTACTACGAAAATTACTTTTATTTATACATAATAATATTGTTATACGTAATAAGATTATTTACAAGTTCTGTATTTTAGCTCGAAATTGTATACAATATCCTTGTCAAAAATGAACAAAATTTAAATTTAAAAAAAGATTTTAAAGCTTGAAACTTTTAGTCTCAAAAGGTTATTATAATTTTTGAGTTTATGTGAATTTGATAATTTTTACCAAAAAGAACTATATAAGTCTAAAAAAGGGAAAATCTTCTTCTTACTTTATAAGTCTGCCATGTGTCAAAAAAATTATGAAATTTTCGACTATCTATCGTGAAAACTTGAAGTTTTCCTTGCAAAATCATTTTTAAAAAAATCTTTCTATGATTTTTTGTTTTTGAATCTAATAATTAAAATACTTCGATAATGGAATTAATGACATACGCTAGTCGTAATAAAATATTTATAAAACTAATACTTACTTTTAAAGGTATAATAGTTTTTACGTAATCGTGTACAGCGCTCGCGTACGCTGAAGAATGCATTATGCTGTCATAATCATAAGGAATGTCAAAATTACTCCACTTTAGCTCAGTTTTTTTGAAATTCCTTTTAGCATCTGAAAATACCAATGCATATATACGATAAAAAAAGCTTATAACAATATAATTTCAATCAATTATTACAAGCATTTACTATAAACAAGGTGTTGCACAAGAAATCGCTGTTTAATGTAAAGCATTAGTAATTATTGAACAATGAAAGAAAATTTTCATGAAACGATGAATAAGAATCAGAAATTAGATATATAAATTAGAGAGATATATATAGATAAAATATAGCGACTTGAAAAATATCTAGATATTGTAAACGATAAATTAATTGCAAAGTTATAGCTGCATTAAGAGTATATATTTATAGGAAAGGAACCCAATTGTCCCTCTCCGATTTTAATGAGTTTTTAGTATGCCATTCTCTAGACAAAAATAAGTGACACGTATTTTTTAAACGTGTCCATATGCACTTTTAGAGGGTGAAACACCTTTTAGATTTTTTTTATTATAATTACCCTTTAAAATTTTTTTATTATAGTTCTAAAGTACTCTTGAATTCATTCAATTTTCATTCTGAAAATTTTTTTCTATCTCTTACAGTTCCGGCGATATTCGCTTCAAAAGAGAAAAACCGATTTTTTTTAAAGGGTGTTTCATCCTCTAAAAGTGCGTATGGGCACGTATAAAAAATACATGTTGCTCTTTTTTGTCTGGAAAATAACATATAAAAGCTCATTAAAATCGGTGGAGGACAGTTGGGTCTCTTTCCGGTTAGATTAAATACTTTCATTAAAAAAAAATTAATCCTTTTAAACTTTTGTTATTGGAATAAATACCTTCTTGAATATTTTCCCAATTGATTTTTACATAATTATCTCGGTCTGATCTAGTGTGTTCGTGAGAAAAACCAGCGACGTGCATAAACTGATGCATGATAACACCCTTTCCTAAACATTCAGGAATCTGCAAATTCATTTTTTGTTCACCGCCTTTTCTGCCAATCTCGCTCCAGCATCCAGAATAATCGCTACTGATTTTGACATAGTTATCTTCGTTAGTTCTAGCTTTAACTTCTATACATGTATACTTTTTAAATTCATTTATTGCTTGATGTATATGTTCGTGTCCTTTTTCATCTATGAGTAAACAAAAATAAAATAAGACAATTTTACACACAGTGATAACCCGGCAAAAAATGTTTATAGTTATATAAAATTCTATAGAATAATTATATGTAACTTTATATAATTTTATAAAAAACATTTTTTCTCGGGACTCAATTCAATTGGCTCAATTTTCTTAGAGTGAGTTTCATTCTAAAGAATTTTGAGATTAGTGTATTATGAAACATAATTGATTTTAAAGAATATATTACAGAATGTGGCTAAATTTTTAATTTTGAAAATACTTACCGAAATCACCATCGACTACGATAGGAATAACGCCATCAGACCACCAATGCCAATCAGCATCATCACTCAATACGTTTCTTTTAATGTCACTTGCGATCATGATATCTCCTTCGAAGTAGTCACCTAATTCGTCAGGATTTACGTTCATTTTTTCGCACCATTGCGCAGTCCTTAATCCTGTTTCATAATTCGGAACCATATTTAACCATTTATGTTTGCTTTCATCGGCTTCATCATCGGTACTATAAGGGACTGCTCCCATTGACGTGATGATGACAAGCGTCCATGCAAAAGCAATTAACAGTCGACAATATGGACGCATGATCGACATTCAATCAAATTATAAGAAGTTACCCTTTTCTATGGTCCTGAGGACGAAAACGAATACAGTAACGAAATATTCGGAATGTTTTCCCCTTTATATACTGTACCGCAAATGTTTTCACACTTTACTTACTTGCATAATCTTATTGTTAACTAAACAACGCTTTTGGCGAGAATAATATTACTCACAAATAATTATGTATTACTCATAAGTACTCAAGTAATTAGGATAACACCGATATGTCGTATCTATCGGAAATTTAATTTTATCTAATATAACTGTTTATACTGTGTTTATAATAAATATCAAACTTTAGATTATTTACACTATAAAAGATTAGAAATACGGAATGTTTGTTTTTTATAAAAACCTTTTTACATCTCTTATATGTTTCATATTCCAGAGGGTGCGGTTCATGAAAAATTTACAAATAATGTTTAGAAATAAGATATAAAATTATACATTTTATGTCATGGTATTTACAAAGTTTTATTAATGAATAAGAATATATATATATATATATATATGTATGTGTGTGTGTTGTATATGTGTGTGTGTGTGTGTGTGTGTGTGTGTGTGTGTGTGTGAAGTAACAGCTAACAATTATAACTTTTTACACATTAACAAGGGTAATGATATGATATACATGTTTCTGCTTTTATACTTATATAATCAAATCATACTAGATAAAAAAGCGATATGATATTTTCAAATTCTTATATCTTAAAAACAAGAAATTATTGAGTAAAACGTCTTACCCAATAATTATATACGTTTGTTAAATAAATTAATGATCTAAGATACCATCCCCCCCATCTAAGATAATTGCTGCTCGTGTTTTGACATTTTTATCATAATATCTTGTTACAAAATACAAGTTAGATATTTATAATTGATTTTAAAAAAAGTCATCTAGCGGAGAGGCACCAAAGTAACTTTTGCACCTTGTAAGTCGCTGGCGGACATGCTTATAAGGATTAATATGTATATTAAGGTATATTATATATCGCGAGGATTTTTAGATTATTTCTTTATCGGAAGTTTCATGTTTAGATATACGTACATCCTAATTTGTCTCATATATTCTATATTTTCATCTATAAAAATAATATATATAAAACTCTAAAAAATCTTGACGGAAAAAACTTTTACGAAAAAGTACAGAAAAATTCTAGAATACATAGATTAGGATAAAATCTTAGAAATATTGAGTTTTTCATAGATATTTGTAATGGAAAATAAAATGACATTTGTTTTATGATACAAAATACGAAAAAATGTTCTGTAAAAACTCGTCAAAAAGTACGAACGGGGCGAAGGATTTCTTGATTTTTCAAACAAACAATATCTCACTATAAATATCTAAACTATGAATTTCTAAGATTTAGTCTTAATCTATATAGTTTTTCGTAAAAATTTTTCCGCCAGGATATTAAACATACACAATTAAAAATATATGTGTGACAATATTTCAATCATTAATAATAAAATTGTGTATTTTTTTGTAATTAATAAATACAATTTTTCTACATATACAAAATAAATAATATATTAACTAAAACTAAATGATAATATATCATTGCAAAAATAAATAATATGCAATATATAAAGTTGTATTATATTTAATAGTAGATATATCTATATAAAAACTTATTAATCACTAATTTATAAACATTTAAATATATAATAACATCTATAAATGGTTCTTTTTTCATTGTGTGCATCTACCCTGGAAAAAATGTTATATATACGCACATTTTATATATGTAATTAATGTAAAGTATGTCAATTTTATATATAATTATATATAATTATGAAACATTTTTTCTAGAGTAACTGTTTCTAATTTTCAAAAATTCTTTTTCTAAGAAAAAACAATGACACATAGTTAATAATTGTAGGTATTATTATGACACATTCCATTGTGGAACACACAATGTCTCTGTAATGTTTTTAATAACCCTAATACTTACAAAAAACTACATTGTTTTTTTAAAATAGATAACCTTTTTTTTTTGCAAAGGTAAATGATGTTTAAAAAAACGATGTATAAAACGTGAATATATAAAATTAAAAAAAAAACATATTAGAATTTTAATAATTTTCTTGTTCCCATATAATATGTATGTAATATACGATTTTGTTTTGTATAATATTAATTTTATTGAGTTTTACTGAGCGCGAGCCTGGCATTGCAGACATCGTTATGGTCTACCATGCCATAATGGATTCGGTCCAGTAGGAACCAAAATATTTATGCTCGTGTCTCCTCTTGAAAAAGGCCGGCAACCTCCCGAGAATATCCTTGCTCACAGAAACATCTCTTGAAAAATCTGCCTTTCGGAACCGATATTAAAACTGTCCTATACGCTGCGATAATTGAATAATCAGCTAGCCATCTTTTCATAAACATATTTTTCTTTTTTTTATAAAGTATTATAAATGAAGTATTTTATTCTATAATCCGAGGCCTAACGTAAGAAGAAGAAGAAGAAGAAGAAGAAGAGATTTTACTGGCAGAGCACTTATTATTATAAAGTTCACTTATTTTTTAAATTATTTTATTTTGATTTTTAATTCTTTTTCATTATGCTTTTTCTTCTAAATAGAATAATATAAATATCAGGCAAACAAAACTAAGCATTTAAAAACTTTTGCTTAATTGTTTGAAAAATGAAATGTCTCGAACTGCACATTTCTTATGTTTGTATTTTTAAATCTTCAATGCGCAATCAAACAATGGCTGCATTCAATAAAGAAAGCAACTTTACAACTGTTGTAAAATTCTTGAATATAATTAGATTATACAGATTTAGATCTAATTAGGAACTAAGGGCAGGACATAATCATATTATAGAATTTTACAACAATTGCAAAGCTGCTTTTTCTGAACGCAGCCAATGGTTATTCAAGTCGACAAAACATTGTTTTGAAGTAACTGTAATTGGAATAGATGTTTCTTACAGATTTTTCTCAAAAAATAATTTGTCACAAAAAATAATTTTGCTAAATTATTCCATTATGTCAGGTTTTAATGTTAATTAACATTAAAAAATCAGAAATAAGCACAATTCGTAGAAAAAATAAACAAAAAAAATATTGACATGATAATTTCTTTTAATATATTCGCTATTAGTAAATTTTAATAATTATTTATGGAATCACTCATTCGGTAGCCTATAGTTTTATCATCATGGCATATATTAATATGCCAATATATGTATAGCCGGAATTTACTATAATATATTTTTACTATCAATTTAAAAAAATTTTCAAGATACATTTAATTATATATGCTTTCTCATTTTTAATATCAAAGATACTTATTAAAATTATTAAATTATTATTACTTACGATGGAAATAATGCAAATGGTGGGATTTATTTTCTTCAAACATCTTCGTTTCTTTTGAAATTAATTCTTATGTTCATGATTTCTTTTCACTCAATTCCTTAGGATTTATATTAAGTTCCTTGATCCATCACATTACTTTGTTTCTTGTTCCTTATTTCTTTATTTGGAATCATGTTGTGCTAATTCTGATGGTACATTCCTGTATAAAGAACCGTTTCCACTAATACAAATATTGTGAAGACGAGAAACTTCTAAGTGTAAATGATTAGTCGATACAATATGATAGATACTAAATGAAATTATAAAAAGTTACCATCTATGGTCCTATGACAATGAAAGCAAAGACAATAATACAATATTCCATACATTTTTTTCTATATTTATACATTTTATTGCAAAAGTTTTCGCACCCCACTTCCGCATAATCTTATCAATATTTCCAAGAAACTAATTCTAGCGAGAATAATAAATTATATATAATGGTCATATATCTTTTACCAATAATTATATATAATTGAAAAAATTGCTTTTTTCATTTATATATATTTTCTATTTATATATATATATATATATATATAAATAAATATGACAAAAATGATAAACAAAAAAAGTATTTAACTTGAAGATTATTAAAAATTGATTACACATAAACAAATTAAACATACACTGTAATATTTAATTATTAATTAAAAACATAATTAAATATAAATAAAATAATTGTATATCTTAATCAATAAATATAATTTTTTTATGTAAAATGATTAATAATAATTAAGTCGTATGGTAATATATAAGATTACAAAAATAAACAATATAAATAACATTGTGTATTATCCGCACCTCACATACACAATAAAAACATGAAATGTGCATAGAAAAAAGAACTATTAAATCAACCATAATATGTTCATATACAGGATACCCTGAATTTAAATGTGAAAACTTTAGGAGTATGTAGACTGTAGAAGATCGATAAACTAAGAAAAAAAGTCTTTTAAAGATGTGTTCGTTTTTGCTTTGTTTTGGAGAAAATCACAAATAAGGACGAAACGCAGTTTTAATTTTTGTACTTATTTATTATTCATTCACACTTATTTATTCACGTTATCATGACAGCAGCCGTAATCCATTCATCAGTACGGGTCTCTGATAGAACAATCGATTAAGCTTTTATTTTACTTGCAGTTATACTATATACACATTGCAGTTATACATTTTGTTAATTTTCTGATAGTCTGACTTGCTAAGTCCGTCTCTTTGACCGATTTTTGCTGACGGATTCTGAAAATTTCAATAATAAAATCATTAATGTCATTAATCACAAAGATTATTTTAACAGATAAACGCACAATAGATACATATAATTTGATGCAGCGTGTAATTTGCAAGTAATGTACAAGTTTTCCTTTTTTCTATATTAAATTGGCAAATCGATATTTCGTTTTTATTTCTGTTTATTAATAATGTAACTAACAATAACTCTATAGAGATTATTTATAAAAAATAATTATCACTTACTTTGGGAATGATAGTTCTTATAATAGGATTTTTGGCAAATGCGTACGCTGAATAATGCATCACGCTGCTGTAATCATAAGGGATGTCGTAATCTTGGGCGATATTTGGGGAAAGTTTGGCAAAATTACCCGTGCTTGCTAGATACACAAAATAAAGAGTAGTTTATAACGTAACTGTGCAGAATATTTTCATTTAATTATTATAGCATTTAGAATTATTATCTTTATATAAACAGTTATTTTTTTTATTATTTTAAATACTGTTAAATAATTAATAATTCTTAAGTCATAAACGACAGAAAATTCCTAGAAATTTTCATAAATCAATCTGTAAATAAACTCTGTAAAAATGTATAAAAAAAAACTTTCCAGCTGGAAAAATGGCATATATTATTTTGATATAAAATATTATAGTTATATAAAATTAGTTAATATTAAATATCAATAAATGACAATGCAAAACATTTGCATGTAATTTTTGAAATATTTATTCAAGAAAGTCTTATTATCTCTTATTTTAAATCTCTTATTGTTAAATTACGAATATACGCACATTCTTCAATATTATCCCAGTTGATAGTCACGTAATTATCTCGATCATCTCTAGTATGCTCGTGCCAAAAGCCAGTAGCGTGCATGATCTCATGTATTACAGTACCCTTTTTCGTTACACAACCAGGAATTTGTAAGTTTATTGATTGTTCACCGCCAATCTTGCCAACGTAGCTCCAACATCCAGTATTATAACTAACAAATTTGACATAATCCTCTTCGTCTGTTCTCGGTTTAAGCTGGATACATGTATACTTCTCATACTCCTTTATTGCTTCATGTATAAGATTCAACTGATCGTCATCTGCGATACAAAATTTATCAACGTAAATAATAAAATAATTTTGAACACGATAAGATCATTCCCAGATGACTATTTTTGTTTATATTTAAATTTTTATTTATATTTTGCCATTGGCAATATCATAAAATAATTTAATAATAATAAATACATTATTATCTTATTTTATTTTAATATATTGCTAAGAATGGGATAATTGATAGATATTCTGAAAGTAAATTAACATGTCTGCAACATATTTTAATTCTGGATATCTGAAATGTAACATATAAGCTAAATTAACAACATCAAATGTAAAAAAAGATTTTTTTTATCTTATTCTAAAAAATATTATAATATTTTATAATATATACATTTTTTATTGTACATTGAAATAAAAATATAGATATAATATTCTTATACAACACTTATGTTCTTATAAAATATTGTATGCATAAAAGACTGTACATAATTTAGTAATATAGAACAAATGCACTCTTTATTTTATATTTTATTTATTGATAAATGATTTGATAAAAGATTAATACTTGTTAAATTGGATCTCTCCCATATAATTACTTATAACACATTATGAAATAATTAGATTGATGATCGTTAGAATGGCTGAATTTTCGAAATACTTACCGAAGTTACCCATGATTACGTAAGGAATAACGCCATTAGACCAACGAAGACTTTCATCTTTCATACCGTTTCGTGTGAGGCTTTTTGCGATCATGATGTCTCCTTCCAAATAGTTGCCCAATTCTTCAGGATTTACGTTCATATTTACGGTCCATTGTGATACTTTAACTCCCGTTTCGTTGTCCGGAATTGTCAGGGCCACTTGTAAAGTATCTTCTACGTCAGAGATTGGAACCGCCGACACAAATGTTGTAAGAACGACAAGCGTCCATGCTGATGGCAGACCCGACATAATCAACGTTAAATCAATAAGTTACTGATTTAATTATATAATGACGACGAAAGCGAATGCGGTAAGAGTTTTATATCGTTTCCCTTTTTATATATTTTATCTCAAAAATTTTCTGTCCCTCCTATTTAATTTCAGGTGGCCAATAAATATCGTACTAAAGATGCTATTCACAAACTTACTGACGATTACAATCAGTCTTTCTTTGATTGAACATGAGTATTCAATTAAACGATCTTATCGTGTTTAGTACTGTACATTTTGTTTAATTTTGATTTTTCAAATAAATAGATCTTTGTCAACGAATATACATATCTGTAAGTGTTTGATATTTATGATGAGTATAATTCACAGTTACATTTTTATCAAATTATGATTAAGGAGATTCTCGCACTACTTCCTAGTTAATAGATAGTTTATTCATGATAATACATAAAATAATTAAAATAATGGAATAAAAAAATTACTAACAATATCTTATGTCATTACATAATTATTGTTAATTTTATATGTTACTAAATATTTTCAAAATGATAAAATAAAAGTTAGGTGCTCATTTGATGTGTACGCATCGTCCATTTTTGACATATATTCTAGCTTTCTTTATTGAAAAATATAAATTGCTTGTAAACTCGGTCAGTTTAAATGAAACTTTACGGGAAGAAACTTAAATGTTTACTTTATAATTATAACGATTTTTAAATTGCTGTCTTATACGTATCTTAATTTAAAAGAAAATAATTACAGAATAAGGTTATACCTTTAACTTGTAATGTAAAATTCTATACATTTAAAATTAAATATCTTCAAAATGATACGGTAAGAATCAATGAAATTTTTTTAAATATTATTGATATTATTAACATTTGTATTACATAGACTTGTATATTATAGATTTGTCTTATATTTTATTAAACACGAGAATTTCCTTAATTATAATATTATAATATTTTAAAATAAAAATTTGTATAGTAAACAAAAAGTACAACAGTTTCTAACGTAAAAACAAAGAGTTTACTATATGTACAGTAAAATAAATGCAAATTTTTAATATCTTTTTATTATAATGTCTTAAACAATTTGGGAAGTTTGAACAGGTGAATAAAATAAGTTTGTCTAATTATGTTTGTATTATCTGAAACGTTTAAAAGTCGGACACGACATTGACATTATCTTTTCTCCGAAAACGATATCTTCATGATATAATTATCTTTGATATTATCTCAGCAAATTTTTTGCTAGATTTATTTTTATAAAAATATAGATAAATATGACATATGAATTGAATGATTGCCATATTCATCTATATTTCAAATACTTATCAAAAACCCTTCTGGTATTACAATCGTACATGTTTTGCAAGATAGCTGTGAAAATTGTAGCCATTTTAAACGCTCAGTTGTTGAAAAAAATCAAATATCGACGATCGCCATAACAAAAATTTACAAATTGCGGTTCAAATTAATTAATTACTCACCATATTCATCAGATCTGATCCCCAACAATTTTTTCCTGTTTCCTAGGCTTAAAGATTTGGAGGATACAGATTTTCATCAAACGAAAACACTGAGTGCTTTTTATTTGATGACACAAGTCAACTCAAATCACAAGCGTTGTTCTATCCTTCTTGACATTCGGAGAAAGACAAAGACAGAACGATACACTTGTGTCGACTTGTGTCATCAAATGGAAAGCACTTATTGACATCGACTGACACAAATGACTCTCAAACAATAATTGAGCGTTCAAAATGGCTACAATTTTCACAAGTATCTTGCAAAACATCTATTTTTGTAACAATTAAAATATTAATATATGAATTCCTCAAATTTAAAACAATAAATTAGGCTAAAAGCCTTTATACAAATAAAATTATAAATTAAATCAATTATAATAATTTAGTTCTTAATATTGTCATGAGAGGTTCACACTGATGAAAAAATCTTGATCATAAATAAATTTCAAAACGTACATTTCGGTTCAAAATTGAACCGAAATGTACGTTTTGAAATTTATTTATGATCAAGATTTTTTATAATCAAATAATTTTAATTTAATTTGCGCAC